GTGCTATATACGCAGCAAAAACGTCTATTGAAACCATTTTAGGAGTAATATTTTATATTGTAACTGAGCCTTGAGAACCAAGACATCGTTAAGAAAGAAAATACTATCTAAAGGACGAATACCATGAAAGCGTGCCCCATATAGATGAACAATGATTGTGTGCAGTCGGGCAGATAATCAGATAAGCGGCTGGGACTTGGGAGATGACAATTAACGCTGTCGCTCAGCAGCATCAGTAGAGGGAGAGGTGGCAATTAAGGCTGTCACTCATCACCTCAAACGAGGCCAACTCGACTTACTTCCCGTAACCCAGCTGACTTACGCTAAGCATTGTGGCCTATTGTGTTTACCCTGTAATTATGTTAAATGTGCGATACGTAAGATTAGGGTCGTTTATCCGTATCCGTAATGTCATCTTCTCTGCACAAAACTGTATAAGTATTGTGTCACTATTTTATTCCCACTGCAGTCACTCTTCACAACAGTGGGACAACACACATCTTTCAACAAAGAACATATTATAGACATTACCAAGTACAGAAATTACTTCATTTTTTAACTAGACAGCAAAGCTGACAAATATACAGACACTTTACAAAAAACAAGGCAGCAAAGCTGAGAAATGTTCAGACATTATGCAGAAAAGAGTGCACCAAATAATGTTTTTGCCAATTTAGATGCACTGTTACATAATGTTTTAAAACAGCATAATCACTCGTACCCTCTTACATTATGTTCTACAGGTAACATGGAAAATGAAAAGCTAGCAAGTGATTCACTTTCATGGGATATGAAAGCCACTGAAAACGCTCATGTGTGAAAAATAAAATATTCCAGATATGCTGAAGCTGACGGTCAGATCAATCATGACCAGGAAAATTTGTCTGGACCAGTAGAAATTTGGACTTGGTCGGTCCAAAAAAACTGACAAGAGTTTTAAGAACTGCAATTTTGAATTAACAGTTATCACTCAACATACTTCACTAATAAAATCATACAAAACCCAAAGCGTTTTTTTCCCTTCCATTTCAAACCTATCACATTCACAAACAAAGTAAGCTACCTAATCGTACTGGTAGTATATCTGTCTCAAACGAATAGGGTGATTTTCGGTCCGACAAAAATCCATTCGGTCCGGCAAATTTTTCATTACTGCCGGTCCAAATGTCCGGCCATTTTGAAAAGTTTTCAGCATGTTTGATATTCAAACAAAAAAGTACTGTAAATGTAAACTAATCATGCCAATTTTTGAAAGCAACCTGCCTCTTTCCCTAACAAAGCTCAACCCTAGGTGGAATCTGATGAGAAATTGCCAAGGCATTTGGGCCTCAAATGGACCAAGTGAAGTTCATTAAATATATAATTATCCATTGTTTTTCAATTTCATTAAGTGATACGACACAGAAGTAAACAGCTGTACATACTGAATGGACACACAGGCCAATGTCATTGCTAATTACAGCCTAATCACCATATTTATAAAACTACATACTAATGTGACTGAAGCAGAGGGCTTCAAACCAATGAAATTTTAAAACCACACATTTAAATTTCCAATGTGTGAAAAATGAATGAAAATTAAAATAATAATGATAATAATAATAACTAGAGGATCAGAGAGGCGATACCACCTCCTGTTATAGTACCACCAGCTGGGGTAAGCGCACGTATGGAAAACCAAAAAAAAAGGGTCACCACCACCAGTGTTGAGCTTGACAAGCTCTAAAAATGCAATAAACAAGAGTTCTAAAAATATGCAAAAAGAACTGAAAAAACAGCATAACTGTAAAAATAGTCAATCAAGCTTATTTTCGAATTAAGCTGTATTTTTGCAATATTGATCACTCCTGTGATTTTCAAGACAGTAGGCATATGAGTTTTCCTTGAAATGTGTTATCAGCGTTGCATATGCTTTGAATAAAAAGAAAACCCAAGAGAAACACTGGTCATACCTCTGCCAGATTTGAAGATATGAGGGGCAGAAAAAATGCAGAGTGCAGTTCATGGTGAAAAAATAGGTCAAAGGTCAAATTCAAGGTCACAGTAAGATTGCCAAAATGTGACTTCTTATTCAAGTTAAATAGTAACTATAGTCATATCTCTGCCAGTTTTGGAGATATAAGACCTAGAAGATTTGCAAAGTTCAGTTCATGGTGAAAAGTAGGTCAAAGGTCAATTTCAAGGTCACAGTAAGATTGCCAGTATAAGACTTCTTATTCAAGTTCAACAGTAACTATGGGCATATCTTTGCCAGTTTTCAAGATATAAAGGATAGAAAATTTGCAAAGTTCAGTTCATGGTGAAAAGTAGGTCAAAGGTCAATTTTAAGGTCACAGTTAGATAGCCAGTATATGGCTTCCTATTCAAGTTCAATAGTAAATATGGGTATATCCCTGCCAGTTTTTGAGATATAAGAGACAGCAAATTTACAAAGTTCAGTTCATGGTGAAAAGTAGGTCAAAGGTCATTTTCAAGGTCACAATAAGATTGCCAGTATATGAATTCCTATTCAAGTTCAATAGTTACTATGGACGTGTCTCTGCTAATTTTAGAGTATTTCACATTTTATTTTCACCACTAAGTCTTGCAACATTGTACTTTTTGATATAGCGCAACTCCTAAACCGTATTGAAAACAAAAAAACGGACACCACTGTCAGTATTGGCATTGACAAGCTCTACAAAACGCAACAAACAAGAGGTCTCTAGCATTTATGGTTCCAGAATAAGAGAGAGTTTTCAGTTTCAGTATCTAATGGCTGCTTCTCCTGTGAAAATGCACCGATTGACCCCAAACTCCCAAAGATGAAAAGAGTCCCTAATTGTAACCTCTCACTATGATATGAGAGCTTAGGTCTGTGTAGTTTCTGAAAATTGGCACAAACAAATAATTTTTTGCAGAAAATTCCCATTTTTAGAAAATTTTGGCCTGTTTGACCTTGAAATAAAGGTCAAAAGTCAAATCCAAGGGCATATTTGGAATCTCCACATGACTTTCGGTCAAGCTTCTGTAGAAATTTTTCCCATAATTCCTTCAGTTTGGGAGATATTTAGCATTGAATTTTCAAAAATTTTGACAAGGGTGCATTTGAACAAGTGCCACGCCCAGGCCAATGCACCGACTGAGACAAAAAACCAGGAGGTTCAAGTTGAGATTATATGTGACCTAAATCCAAGAAATGGGGACACAGGTCCTTGCGGTCTAGGAGGAGAAACGGTAATGGTGACTTGTATCCCACGCCATCCTGTGGAGCCAGCGGAGCTGTGCAAGACGGGTCGGGACTAAAACCATGAGTACCGCCAGCGTACACGCTGGTGGTACTAATAAAATCCAATCAGATTGGTTTTTGAAGTTGCATTGTCATTGAGTTGCATTTTAGTTCTAGGAATCATTTCTGAGAATAATTTGTATTACAAGTTTCCTTAAATTGTGTTATGAGTAAAAATTCCAAAAAAAGTAGCACAGATGCAGACGATGGACTTTACACGTAAGGGGCCATTCAGAATAAAAGATCTGAGCATCATCTGATCCAAGGACCAAATATGGCAGTCCCTACATGAAAGGAAGACTGCTTAATCCTGAAATAGTCTCTCCACCTCTCACATGCCTCGCCACACATCACGCCTTGACCAGTCAAATTTAGCCAAGATTTAATTACTGTGCCCCTGTGGAGTCATGTGAGAGGTGGAGAGAACGATTTTAGGATTAAGCAGTCTTCATTTCATCAGATCAGCTAATACTCTGATCTTTCATTCTGAAGGCCCTTAAGTCCAGACACAGGTCTGTCCATATATAAATTAGCATGCACTCAGTTACTGGACTAAATAGTTTGTAACTACAGATGGGTTTACAACAGACTTTCATATCCTGAAATAAAAAGTACTTACTTTTTGTTGTTTCAAACCAAACCAATACAGCCTCATTCACAGATGGTATACTTGGTTCACTGCTTCTTGCAGTACATGTGTAATTTGCATGGCCAGATGCAGTCTTCCTTCCAGGTACAAAAAGGACACTTGTAGTTTTGTAGAGTTCATCATGACAGTAGCTTATTTCTTCTCTAATATTTCGTTGATCTACAATCTGAAACATTTATTTTAGAGAAACATAAAAATTCAGATGCTGAACAAGGTCATATAAATATACACCCTATAATAATAGTGGATGGGGTAGTATGAACATGCATGGATCTCTAGGAAATTCAATTTCACGTAAGATTTATTCTCAATTTCATTTCTTGAATATTTGTTCAAATGACCTTCATTAATAGTATGTATCTCCATGAAATACCGACGATGAAACTCAGACTAAATAATCTGTGGACTCAATTTTCTTTTCAAAAACTTGAAAATTTCATTGCTTACAAATTAATTGATATTTTAAATTGCGAAAAATAGCATTTGCGAAAAACAGCATTTCCCGCCCCCTGGGTATATGACAAAAATTTCAAAACTCCACCCTTTGGGCTATTATCCTTATCAGCTAGCTTTTACCCTTGTTCCTCATATATTGTGGGATATTTATCACTACTTCCGAAGTCACTTTCTGGTGGTGAAGGATGATCTATTTCTTAGTGCATTTCAATTTTGTTACATTAACTTACTTTCAATAAGAAACAAACCTCCAGATAGAGGAGAGGGGTCAAGATAAGCCTAAATGCAACCTCACAAACTGGATGCGGCATGTTTAACATTACACACTTAAATAGCAATGTGTGTTGCATGCAGGGCTTTTCTGAAGATTAGGTGTCAGGCCTTCTAAAAATACCATCTGTAACTTCCTAAAAAGTTACAAGGAGTCCAACTTTTCCAAGTGCCATGAGCGGGGGAGGGTTAAAAATAAAAAGAGAATATACATAAAAAATTCAAAGGGGTATAGTATAATATCAGTTTTTCTTGAAATGTGTTATCAGTGTTGTATGTTTGCTTAAAAGAGAGAGAGAGAGAGAGAGAGAGAGAGAGAGAGAAAACAGCATAACTTTTGAAAAAAATGGCCCGATCATGCTGATCACAAACAATGTGAATGTAAAAATGGATTCATTTACCATTGGTAAGTATGGGAAAATTGTTTACTCCAGGAAAATTCATTTTTTGTCCAAAACGAAGAGTTATTATCCCTTTAAGATAAGTTCTCTGCTGTACTATTATTTCCTTGATGCATCTGTCCTAAAAATCTCTTTTAAAATTTCTTGCATTAGAAGTCCAACAAGCCATAGTTACAGCAGAGGTGGAGTAATTCATTTTGGAAGGCTGTCATCCATATACAGACATGGTGAAATAATATACAGTAATTCTTCGATCTTTTCGATAATGCGATCTTTTCATTATATTTAATTTCTCTGCAAATTGAAATTTTTGTAAATCATAAAATTCGATTAATTGCAACTTTGGCATATTTCTGTTTTCCAGTGCTATCCATATCCCTCCAGTATAGAAAAAGGAAAAGCAAAGCCTGGAGATGGTTATCGGAACATGTCCAAGTGTCTCCTCTCCCATCCCCCTATTACCAGAACTCTGAAGCTGATGAAAGCCATTTATTTAACTAAAAGCGTCTTTTGCAACCAGCCTACCCCCTCCCCCCGCCAGGCTGTACGTCCCTCGTACAACCGGCTTTTAAGGCGACTACAGAAAATGTTATAGAACCAGTCGAGCTTTTAATCAGACAGCGGGACGGCCTTACACAGATTGACAAATGCATCATAGACCCCACCCACCCCACTGTTGACTCAAAGAGCTTGAAATTCATTTTCGCAAATATATTTACCTGAAATTTTATTTAAGTGCCATTTCACNTCTCTATATATATATATATATATATATATATATAACTTCAAAACCAGTTGCTTTCAATTAATTGATGACAGATATAGGCATTTTAATATGTACTCTAATGTTATTACCTCTGACAAGGAGGTTATGCTTTTTGGTCCCATTAGTTTGTTTATCTGCATGCAAAAGGTTATTAACATGAAAAATTCAAAATAAGTCATAGATGTGAAAGGTATGATTAGATTTTGGTGATGATCCAATTATTAATTAAAGATAAATTATTAGTCAGTCATTGTCGTGAAGAAAGTCTGTGCTCTGTGAATGCTTTTCTAGTTTAAAATTCGTATCTGCAAATTTGATGCCATTTGTCTTGGAAGGTTTCCTGAATTTTATCTCAACAGGTGCTCAGTGCTGCCCAGTATCAGCTGCTCCAGTGCGCCACCCCTGAGGCTGTGGTGAGGTTGAAGGATACCAAACTTAGGGCCCTGCAGGAAGGAATATGGGACCAGTATTTTAAACAGCAGAAACATGAAAGTCTGCTGGAATATTTGCACAATGAAATTATGGAGAAGAAACCACATGACAGTGTATTTGTGCAGGTAGCTTATAGGTTGTATTAGTTAGTGAGGAACATATTTTGGCATAGATGTGATAGATCATAATCCATGATAATGGAAGTCATTTTGTAAAATTTTGTCATATTTTTTGATAATTACATTAAAATTTATTTATCATAAATTTTTTCATTTTTTCTTTCAAAAATATGTATATTTGCTTTTATACTGTAGAATATATATATAGAGAGACAGACACTTATGACCACTAACTGAGATCCACTGTGACTTAAATAATTCTGAGCAAATAGGCCTGTTTTCAGCATAAATTATCTCATTTGAACGTAAAAAGCACTGGCTTTGAATACTAACTGTGATAACATCATGTTTACAGGTCACAACCCATTCCAAACTGCTTTCTATAGATGATGAAAAAGAAATAGCAAAAGTTCTTAAGCTACCGCCAGCAAATGTCAGATCATTGGCACTTCAAAATTTTGGCACAGAGCAAGAATTTGGAAGAAAGATAAGGTAAGGAATTGTTTCAAGATAGATTCCTCTGCTTTAAAGCATTGTTTGCCTGTAGTATTCATTTTAACTGATAAGTACATTTGTATTCAGCGACACACCTTATTACAAGTTTAAGAGAGTTGAAATACCTATAAAAGAATGAAATGAAAGTAGATAAATCATGCTTTTTACCAAATTTTAAAGCTGTAGCTTTTTTTTTTATAACTGACATAATTTTGAATTATGTGCACAATAGAACTTTGTTAAAATGTAGAAATTTATTAAATTATCAAACCTCTGATGATTTACATATTTTGCTTTTAAGGCGTTTTTTCAATGATGTCAAGAAAAATGATACACTTTTGCTTGTCCAATGTGATTCTGGGGACCAAAATGGCAGCCTGATAGCATGTGCTCGCTACTGTGTGATGGATGAATTTGCACAAGCCAGGGAAAACATGGGTAGTAAAATCCATGTGGTGTTTGTTGTACAATTGCCCAGAGTTTCTGGTGGATGTTTTGTAGGCTTTCAGGTAAAAAAAAAAATATTGAAGTAGTTTTTCATCAACTGTGTTATATTACTATGTACTTTTATTTCTTGTCATGTGTCTAAAAAAATTCCTACTATGAATAAGTAAAAATCGTTTGTGTCATATTTTAAGAAACAGACATGTAAATGGCATAATTGTGAAAAACCATGTTCATATTGCTGTATTTGCAGGGTGGCAAGTGGCTCTCGGTGCACATTGATGACTTGAGGCCAGAAACGTATCAATTGCCTTCCTGGGGCAACATGATGGGAAACTCCATTGGGACATTATTCACACAGTCAGTTCACCAATGTAGAACCCATGGACCTCAGAGTGGCATCATAACAAGGCAGGATCTGGCAGAGAGGATAGAACAGTTACAGAAAAGGGAACTGGCTCCACATCCAAGTGATTCTGGTTGGTTGATTTTGATACAGGTGTCACAGTATGTGTGACAGCATGAAATAGAGTCTGTGGAATCTGATTGTCCAAACTTAGAAAAATGTATATAATTTTATATGTCTGCATTTTTTTTAAAGAAATGTATATACTTCATTTTTGTAGGAAATTCAGGTACTTATTGTATAAATTTTTTAACGCATTTTGAAGGTATAGTCTATATTAATTTTTTTAACACATTTTGAAGGTATAGTCTATATTATTTTTTTTAAACACATTTTGAAGGTATAGTCTTGGAATCTGAAGTGAACAACACTGATGAAGACTCTCTGATGGACACATCAGAAAGTCATTTTAGCCAAGATATTGAGACAGAAAACCAAAGGGCAAGTACACCCAAAAAAGAGAATTCAGTGCAGGTAGATACTGGAGAGGAATTACCCACAACCGATGTGAGGATGGAGGAAGATGTGGAAAGAATGGAAGTTGAAGATCATGAAAGTGACTTAAGGGGTCTTGACTACAGTGCACTGATAAGAAACTGTGTCCAGGGTGCTGCAGCCATGTTGAAAGAGGAACATGCGGAAAATGTGCAGCGAACCACTGAGAGAATACAAATTTTATTGAAACTGTTATCTATCAGAAAAATGAAAGGACAAGGTACATTACAACATGAAAATACGAGCAATGGTTGAATTAGAAAAAAATACAGATAATTTAGTGCAGCGCAAACTTAAAACTTATTTTGTACTCATTTGTAAATCTTTGCGATATGCACACATTTGTGAGTTTTGGTGTTTAAGTCATTGTAAATACTAAAACATATAGGATCTTGAAGTTCCTCAAATGTTGGTGTTACTGGTAAATTGTTGATAGAATTAGTTTGCCAAAAAAAAGGGTAAGTTCTTATGTAACATATTTATACCTTTTTTTACAGACTGCAGAACATTTGCAGAGGTTGTTGGACGGAGAGTTGCGTTGCTGCTCAGTGAAAAGGAGGAGAAAGTTATGCGGCCAGGAAGAGCAGCTAACTGGCTGAGAAATGAAGCAGCTTCCATGGATATGATCCACAAAGCAGGAACGTTTAGGTGAGGATGCAAAACTTGATTTCTTTTAGCAGTTTTGTAGTTCAATGTAATTATAGATGTTGGTGTAAATGAGCACAATACTGCCCAGGTGCTCACACCTGTCACAGCCAAATTTGCTAATGAAGTTTGACTGTAAACAGATGAAATAAAGGGTTGAATTGTGTGAAATTTAGAACAGTGTAATGTGGTTACCAGAGGATTTTTAAAGAATGTAACTTTTTTGCGAAATATGATTTAAAACCGTAAAGTGTTATTACACAGTCAATTAAATATTCTTTCCATATTTTTGAAAAAACAAACAACTTTGGAATGTTTTCTGTGCAAATGGATGCAAGCATGTGATGTTCTTGATTTATAAACATGGCGAAATGAACAGCATATTTTAAAGTCATTGGTGTTATAATTAGTGAAGCAAATATCACCTTGTTGAAATCATACATACATAATTACATACTTGAGTCACTGGAAAAATTGATTCACACAAGTTTGATTCTTTTTAATCATTTCAGGCGATCGTCATGGCAGTGTATCCAACAAAAAGTCACACCTATGCTGGCTGGAATAGTAGCCCTGATGGACACCAACTCCAACTTGAATATTCTCCACGCTCACCAAGACTTGACCCACTGGATGCATCAGTTTTGGTTAGAACTGTTGGACAATGAGAATGCCACTGAACTGAAATACCAAAGAGATCTCAGGTCCCCAAAATTGAATGCTGAACTCACTGAAATGGTAGTAAGAACTATTGGGTGTGGGCAAATGTTCTGTAACCAACTGCCATTCTCTTGGGTGATTTATCAACAGGTGGAAAAGATGCTGCATCAAGTGAAGAAATTGGGTGAGATATTGCAACAATATTAATTAGGGCTTTAACTTGAATAGACCTTTGTGAAGAAGTTATATGTGGTTATTCTTTTTGCAATTAAGGTAATGTTTTTATTATATGTGCCATTGAATTGTAAGACTGATGTTAGGTAATGATAAATACTCTACCTCATTTGAATTGTATTTTCAGATCAAGTTAACCAACTTCAGAAAACTCAAGAATTATTTGAGGAATGGCACACAGGGAAGATTGTTACAAATTACATGAACAAAGCTCAGAATGTGGCTAAAGATATTCTAGACTTGTACCTTACTGACTTTGTACATATGATTCACAAGGAGTCTTCAGATGGAGAATGCCAGGTACAATTATTTACAACTTTGGAGACTTTATACTCAGTGAATTATAATTGTCTTTTTGTATTAAAAAATGTTCAAGCAAAAATTACCAACATTAGATTTCGCTATGTTGGTGCATCTGACCGATGGGCAGAGTGGAAAAGCAGAATTCTATACAAAATATGTAACAGCATAAATCCTTATCTTAGTAAGTTTAACTCTGTGAAAGATCACGTTATCTACTAGCCTTAATGCTGATATTTGTTTTCATTTTGGTGATTAGAAGGTAAAAGGTGTAGGATTTGATGTAGATTTGCTGTTATTTATTTAACCTGAAATTAATCACATATCAGAGTAGTGGATATATTGATTTTTTTAAGGTAATGGTACATGCCCTCAGGTCTGCAGCATTTGAAACCAGACAGAGATTCTACAATGAACATGCTGTCAGCATGCTTCCTGAAAAAGAGGCAGAAAGGTTCCACCAAGCAATGAAGTTTGGTTTCACAATTCCCCTGGTTCATCTAGCCTATCACTCTGTGCAAAGTAGACTACAACATCTGAGGCAGTTATTCCATCTTTTGCCAGATTTGGCTGCCTCTCTGCTGAATGATATTGGTAAAAGCCAGAAGAATGAAATGGTAAATTTAATATTTTGTATAGGGAAAGAATCCCTCACAAAGATTAAAGATAAGTCTTTTGAAGGTCACATAATTGATTATGTACGGAATAATAAAGAGAATCAACATTTTGTTTGCTGATTTACTTACAGAACATTGATGTCCTCGGATTAACATACTGCCTGGAAAACCTAGAACCTCACACTGAACCTCTTGAAAATCAAAACCAGAGAAATGGCTGGCTTGACAAGGTCCAAAGGTTTAAACCAACAGTAGAGAGAATACTACAGTCAGTGTGTCAGGACTCCTATCATTATGGAGACAAGAGCAGATATCAACTCCTACAGTGCAGGTAAGGATTTCATTTTTTAATGGAAATATGTGCTTTATGTGCAATAAAGGTATGTTGCAATAAAGGTATGTTGTTCTCATTCTTTTCACGATTAACTATTAAAAGTGTCAGAATAGATATATGTGCTTTATGTGCAATAAAGGTATGTTGCAATAAAGGTATGTTGTTCTCATTCTTTTCACGATTAACTATTAAAAGTGTCAGAATAGATATAACTTCTCAAGTCAAAACTGAAAATGAAACATTTTGTTGCCCATATCTGTTATTAGTTCCTGGTAACAGTGTAAAGGTATGTACATTACAAAGTTTAAGCCCCAAAAGTTTATTTTTATTTTTATATCATAAATGGGATATCTGCCAGTCCTACTGTGTAATATTAAAGATTTATCAAAATCACACAAAATGTGCTAAACTGAGATGGAAATTATCTTGTGATCATTAATCAAAATCCATTCATTTTATGATGTAAGTTGGTCTGATGATTAGAAGTGTCACCCTGAGTATCACTTGAGACTCAGTAGTATCTCTGAAAGTTAACATCAAATATATATATTTCCTAATTTTTTTAAACTGGTTACATCTACTTCATAATATGCTTTCCATTTAAATTAGATACATGTGGAACAGGTTGCTTGCCTTGCACCTCTTTGTAGAACATGTTTGTCCCCGTGGGGTAAAACGAGAAGATCTTACTGTAAAAAGATGCATGCCTTTTTGGATTGTAAGTGCAGTATAACACATGGAGCTAAGTACATTTATGCAATGCTTACTTTAACAGAAGACAATTAATTACAGTACTTACAGAACAAATAGTATGGGTTTTTTGAAGAATTGTATTTGCTGATGTTATAAATGTGCACAGTGCTACATATTCATGTAACATATTCATGTAACTTATAAATCATTTTGATACTTAGTAATTCCTTGTAATCCTCATGGAACAGTCAATTGGATAGTATATTTCCAAATTTTTTATAACTTGCAACCAGGCATCAAGATTTGAGTTCTATTTTAACATTGATGAAGTGACCTGGTATGATGGATTCTAATTTAAGATGCTGTCTAGAGAGGAGAAGACTGACTTTAAAGAAGTACCTTCAATGGAAAAAGTGAAGAAGTTCCTTGAGAGCTGTAACATCAGTGCTAGTAAACATTTTTTTGGGTAAGTTTATTGAAGCCCTATTTCTCTTCTCATGTGTGTGTGCACTAAGGTACATTGTTGTTGGAAAATGTTTTGTACAGGTAGTAATTTTCCCCTTAAGCAATTTAAGTCAAAATGTTTATTATATACACCTGTACTTGATTCCATTCGTTTCCTGAAAGTGATATCTTATTCTTTATTGTGTGCCATTTGAAGTGATATCTTACTGTGTATTGTGTGACATTTGAAGTGATATCTTACTGTGTATTGTGTGACATTTGATCCTGTGTTTTTGGTTACAATTTTTTAATGTTTCTATTTATGGTTCATCTTTGACATAAAAGATCAGTGCAAAAGTTTCATGAAGAATTGTGTGTGAATGCATATGGGATAATGAAGCATAATTTTAACACAGAGAACTTGAAAAGTGCAAGTATTGCAAGCAGCCAATGCAGAACCCTGTGAAGTTGCCATGTGGTCACATCTTTTGTCATGCCTGTCTGCAAGGCCGTAGATATGCTGATATCAATGAATGCCCAGAAAGAGGGTGCAGAAAAATGTTTGGTGAAGTTAAGGAACTGAAGACCATGTCAGACTTCGGGTACATTGTGTATTCCAGTAATGCTCATTTCAGCAAAGTTTTGTTTACTTAACTAATCATCATGAAGATTGCAGTTGAAACATCCTTATAAATTAAAAAGTTATTCATGTATTTTTGTGATTTGAAAAGACAAGTATTCAGGTTTCAATAATTGATATACACCAATGGTAGCTTATTAATGTGAATATGAAAATGTCTGCTTTTATAAAATTTACAGCCATGATAATGTCAAATTACCTTTTTTAGGGACAAGATAAAAGCTCACAATGAGTACAAACGGAGTTGCAATACTTTCTTCATGGCCCTGGTGTCCCAGCTGTGTTTTAATGAAGACACTCCTCCAGAACCTGATGTGGTTAGGATGCTTCTCAGTTGTGTCACCAAGGAGTCCCAGCTTAAATCTGGCAAATCTGGCACTAAAGATTTCAATTTGTTTGATGTCTGCATTGACCCTTCTCCTGTGATCAGGAGTTTCTTGCTCCAGCTGCTTCTGCGCTCAGAGTAAGGATGATTTTTTTAATATATTTTTTTTTTGTTTTCAGGTATTGTCCTTAGTTCATTTTAATGCTATTACAGCTCTTAATATTTCGCGCATTTACTCCTTGTGCAAGCAGGCTTGATGTAAGCATTTGTATTTGTTAGAGCAAATAACCAGAAAAATCCTTTCATTTACAAAGTTAAAATTTTTGGTACATTATTAATAAAATTGGAAGAAATACTTATGTTGATAGAAGTCTTAATGCACAGATTGTTTTTTATTTTTAGTATGGAGCAAGTCAAACAGTATCTTCAGGAATATTTTGACCAAGCAAGGAAATTCACTCAAGATGGATCCCAAACTTTAGAGCTGTGTATGCTTTGTATTCAGTGTATGGAGGTGAATATATCCTCTATCTTATAACCAGGAAAAACTTTCTTTACACTTAAACTGGTCATAGCCTTATAGAAATGTATACAAACAGGAAAGTATCTAATTTAAAACTTGTCTTGAGTATGATATAGAATTTTTATTTTAAAGATATATTGCCTGATTTCTGGAAGAGTTGTAGCTATTATATGTGGCATATTCTCATATGCATGATTTGAGGTAATTAAGATGGTTTCTGCAATCAAACTATTCAACGAAGGTTTCTCTGTTTTGAAGGCAAGATAGGATATATATATATATATATATATATATATATATATACGATTTATCCCATTTCTTTTCCTTGACCAAATTTTTCGTTATAAGCCACTTCTTGAGCAATGTAAATAGTGTATGAAAAATACTTTAACATTTGTTGTCATGAACTATTTAGGATTCCTTCCATAACAAGATTTCCCAGCATGGAAGCAGTCTGACAGCCAGAGCAAGCATGGTTACAGCTTATTTGAAGAGAGCCCGCCTCATGATAGGAGGGAGCATTAAAGAAATTGACTGTATTGAGGCCATTGCTTTAAGTAGATTTGGTCTTGCTGTAACGGCAGATATAATGTTCTCAGCATTTGTTGAGAGTGGAAGGAAAATACCTGTATCCAGAGAATTGAGGGAACTGTTTGATGCAGCAGGGAACCTGTGTGATCAAGTCAGATGGGCAAAGTAAGTGTTTACAGATCGGAGGCAGTTTGGACATATTGGCTTTCAGTAAGACAGGCATTAATTCATTGTCAGGCACTTAATCTAACAGAATGTGGTTCATGCAGATTTCAGAGTTTGAGTAAAGTCTTTCACTTTGCAGTATAAGTCTTTCAGTCTCAATTCCACAATTAAACTACATTCTGTGTAGTTAAAATATTAACTTGAACTTAATTGCAATTTCTTTCAGAATATTTTTGGTAAAACAGATTTGCAGAGTACACGGCACTGAGGCCCTACAGACCATAACTGAAGTCCCCTACCTGGCAAGATGGATACTGCCCCCAGAAGCAAGGCAGAAGGTTATATTTTCGATAAGAGGGTTTCAATATTGAAATATTAATTGTGACAAATAATAGGTTTTTATGATGGTATTTCCCTTCTGCTTAAGTAGAGTGAAAGGTAAAAAGTTGATTCAAGAGAAACTATAATATTACAATGATTAAATGGTAATATTATAGTTTTTAAATGACCACCCTACAAAACTGTCTCACCAAATTGCTCTGTCCAGCTTAAAAGTGTAAATATCAAAAACATAAATACCAATTAAAATGTGCACAAGGAAATATCAGTACTTAGTGTTGGTAAAATGAAACTACATAACGTGTTTAAAATATCAGTGTTTTGGAAATTTTGAAGTAAAAGTTAGTGTATTAACTGTAAAACTTGGCATTTTTAAACTAGTCAAAATATTGTTTAAAAAGGTTAGTTTTTATATTTGTGTTGAAAGTGTCAACATCCATTAACACAGGTGATTGCATATACATTGTATGTATGATTCATTAAAAAAATATGTTGGACATGTTTCAGTAGAGTTGGCTATTGAATGTTTTGTTTCTAGAATGAAATGTATTAATTTTTTTTCCTACCATGTTCTAACAGTGAGTTGAAACTGTAAGTTTAAAACAAATAAAAAAATAATAAATGAATAAAGTTGGCAACCGTAATCAATGATTTGTAGGTCCATGATGACAAAGACATGTATCTGATATGTGGTCAGCTGTATGAGCATCTGAGAGAGACTGTGACAAAAGTGGTCCTTGGGAAAAGTGTGGATCTTATACAGGAAGTTCTGGATGTAAGTTTCTGTAAAGAGGTAAAATCTCTGTTCATAAATTTTTTCTATTTTTATACAGACACTGTAAGTGTATGTATATATTCTGATTGGTTTGTCTTTGTCGTCACTGTTGCTGTCCCACACATATTAATCCCATAAATTTCAAACCGTATTTTTGTTTTACTTAAAATTTACTGAGTGGCTTTGTTTGGTAAAGAGGCAGGTTGCTTTCAAAAATCAGCATTATCAGTTTGCATTTACAGTAATTAATCATTTTTATGTGTGAAATTTTCATTTTTCACACATAAGCATTTTCAGTGGCTTTTATATCAAATGGAATTGAATCTCCTGCTAGTTTTTCAATGTCCATTTTGCCTGTAGTACATAATGTAAGAGGGTAAGAGTGATTATGCTATTTTAAAGCATTATGTAACAGTGCATCAAATTTGGTCAAAACATTTTGTGTACTTTTTTCTATGTAATGTCTGAACATTTGGCAGCTTTGCTGCCTTGTTTCCTGTATGGTGTCTGTATATTTGCCAGCTTTGCTTCCTAGTTTATTAATGTTTCTGTATACTGATGTTTTCTTAACTTTAATATGCGATTTGAGAAGAAAAATTGATGTAAAGCATGTTTGGAGGAATGGTGAAACACACTTAATAGATTTAGATAACTTTATTTAACTTCATATGTGCAGGATGTTTGATACACAAAATAAATCCACATAATCTGCAAAATGAATTTTGTTCCTGATGCAAATATATATGTACCTCTGTCTAGGGAAGCAATGATGGGGTACCTTTGAAAGAGACAAGCATGTTACTTGCCTTGTACAGAGAGGTGACCACAAGTTACATACATGAAGATCCAAACAGGCTGCCAAGTCAAGAGGTGAGTGATTTTTACTGGGATATTGAAATATTCCCAGGCTTTAAAAGGGTTAAATTGACTTGCATGGTTCAAAATTCTCCATGGATTCAGTTCAGGTGTGAAAGGTGCTACTTCTGATTACATTCTGCACAGTTGATCAGCTTTATACAGTAGTACTGATGCTTTTTAATCTTGGCATTTTGTTTAATTTTGAATATTTTATAACAATAATGCATTTCCATCTTAAAGTCAGGTAGTGAGATTGACCAAACCAGGAAGTGATTGTTCTAAAGAACTTAAAGCAGATTTGAGGATATTACAATATAAATGATAAACATATATGCAACTGCTGTTGTTGTCTGAATTCTTTGTGTAATTCTTCTTTCAAGGTGCTACAAAATCTGGTGCAGTACTACCATCAGCTGTCTATATTCCAAATGAAGGTAAGTATTTTTGTCAGCAGTATGTCATTTGATACCCTTTGAAGGAATATTGTTTAAATGGAGACCATTTTTGTGCTTATAGAAATTCAATGAAAGGTGATATTTGTACTTTAGCTGGAAGGTTCCTGAAAATGAGTTTTGATTCTTATCTATATTAAAATTTATGCACTATATTTCAGACTTTCTGTCAGAAGATCCTTTCCAACCAAATTGGTCAAGGCTGTCCAGAGTTGACAATCACCCGTGGTCAAGACAGGCTTCACCAGCAGATGTCAGCACTGGTCATCCATGCCATGGTGATATACTCAGTGAAATGTACCACAGTTAGGCAAAAAGGAATACTTGAACCATTCCTGAAAATGTTCCAAAAGCCACAGGATATGAATGTTAGTATATTTGTGCTACACATTAATTTTGATTCAAAATTCATTATGTGTAAATTTTGTATTCTGTTATGGTACATGATTGCAGTTACCATGTACAGTACCAAGAGTGCTTTGAAATTTTCAATGTTTTATTTTCAAAAAAACTTAATTAGCAGTATGCCAAAAAAGAAATGAATGAATACTTACAGAAATATTGATATCTTTGATGATTAAAGGTATCTACATTTAAATAGCAAACAAAGCAAGCCTATACAGCATAATGCTTTATATTTTTTATGTAGTTAAAAGGTTTTTATTTACGTCACAATGCTGTTTTGTCCTATTTAATCAAGTATAAATTGACTTAGCCCTTTGGATTTTCAAGATGCTGACAGCTGTTATTAATCATGTTATTGACACAACACAACTGGAATCGATTCTAAAATATGTGTAAAATTCAGTGAGGTGTGCACAGTGATGTGTAGCACAGATTAAATAAGTATCAAATTCTGTGGGTTATGCCACTTTCAGTTTTTAGCATGGGTAAATGTATGCTTTTTTCACTTATTTATATCAAGGTTCTCATTGCTGTTTATTTCTTCTCAACCTAGGCTTCTTATTTCCCTACAATGCCACAAGATGAACTGAGTGAAATAAGAGAAGCAGTCCACAGTGGGAGGACAGGTGGACAGGCAGATACACTGTGGGGTTAGCTTTTTTGTGATTAAAAATTAATTTGGGTATTGAATGTATTAATGGAATTGAAAAAAGCATTTATAAGTTGTCAGAATGTCTGCACTGTAAAGTTTGTTTGTTGAGACTTTCAAATCTCATTAAGTTAATAACATGCATCTTATTCATATTTGTTTCAGTTTGTCCTAATGGACACCCATATGTCATTGGAGATGTAAGTATAGGCGATTTCTTTGTCTTTTTTCTTTTCTCACCTGTATGTAGCTTTTGCTTAAAACTAATTCAATAGTATGGTTTAAGCTGATTGAATATGATGATATATATTAAACATATATTTATGTTCATGTAATTATGCTCATGTCATTTAGTGTGGAAGACCTGCTGTTGAGGCTCAGTGTCAAACTTGTGGAATAAAAATAGGTGGGATGCACCACAATCCAGCCCAAGGAAATGTCAAAGCAAGAGAGTAAGTAACTTTCTGAGTTCAGTAAAGTTTTAAGCTTTAAGAAATAGATTGAGGGTAAAAGAAAAGTGTGATGAATGTGTTGACCTAAGATAAGTGCCCCGCAGTGATCAAGTTTGTCAGACAGTTTTCTATTTTTCATTTGAATTTTTGTTGAGTTCTTTGCAGATTATGAAGGTCATACCCTTTTTTGGTATATTTAATCTGAGTCCTGTGTTCGAAATAAGAACAAAAATGGAGTTTTGAACACCAAAATTCACTAATTTTATTTTGCTGTGCAAATATAAGTTTTCTGTTCAGGTCATAGCCATTTGTTTAGCAACATGTAGTTTCAAATTCTTATATACAGATTTAGTTTATGTTTGTATATATTCTGTTCATTGTGTTTATCTGCCATTGCCGATGTTGTCACAATGCAACACATCTGTTGTGTATGTATCTAGTTATGTTTTAACGATACAGTTGGAATAACTTTTTTCTTGTTAAATGTCTGTAAATTTACCAGCTTTTCCATCAAGTCATACTTTGTTAGAAATTAGCAATCATTGTTCATGAAATGGATGTGTAATTTTTTTAATGTATGTTGTTCTATGACAAAAGAGGTAAAAGAATTGTGGCTTACCAAAGTAGGACAAGTTAATGATAAATCATACTTAAAATAGTTCTAAGAGCATGCAAAAATTTAAAAAAATTGAATATAATTTTTATTGCAGGTAAGTTCTGTTTTGCACACAATTAATACAGCAATTTTTTATTTTCCAGAGATGACCAAACACAACCTGGACACATTCTTGGCAATGCCAGCACCCGAAATACAACTTCAGAACCAATGAGAGGAATCAGTGCAGTGCAGGCTGCTATCTTGAGGATGATAACGCACATCACCATGTTTGTTGCTGCTAATCGGGATCCACAGGTTAGTATTTTGTTTTATTTTATCTCATGAAAGTCTTAGACTGCATTCCCAGAGATTTAGATCGATCCCTCTGGATCGACCAAACTCCCTGGGGGTTCATGCTATCAGCCGAGCACGCACGGCAGTTAATTACCCCCTTACAGCTTTTAGTAGGTGGGACAAACATTTAAGCCGGTTAAGCTGACATCAATCTAGTGAGACTCCCCAAAGGGATATATAGATCTAAATATCTTTGGGAATGGGGTCTTCAAGAAAATTTATAGAATGTATATTTATATCATGGCTACATGCATTTATTAAATCAGCAAATTATTTGTCTATATATGTACCATACATAATAAATTTGACAAATTGGTTGTGGATGCGTAGGAGTTTGCATGTATTGGTTTTATGTGTACTGGCAATGGCTGAATATATTTAGTTGAAGCACAAAAGGAACATGGTAATAAGTTAATGTTGTTTGTCACAATTTGAATTTAGAATTCATTAGTAAGCAGTAAGGGAAATTTACAGCTCATTATTGAAATTCTCTTTTAACACTACTTATATGTGGAAACTGTTCACACAGATTCTGTACAAATTTGCACATTCTGTTCTCTCACATTCTGTTCTCACATTTTAACATCATTGCAGGGAGTTACGAGTTTAATCCAAGGTGTAAACCTTGCAAATGGAGTGAATACCTTTCTGTGGCAGCACATTCAAGCGGATATCCAAACTCTGAGCAGGACCATTCGCAAGAGCCCAGAAGACTGTGTACTGATGATGCACATGATCATCCAGAACATTTTGATAAATGAAACATCAGGTAGGACCCAGGACCATAGTCCTTGATTGCAGATTCAAGCAAATTGATTTTGTGTATACTTCGTTTGGAAGAATTTGCCAATTTACTTACTGTATGTAAAAACCACTGAATGCTCGGCTTTCTCTCCTTCTCTTTTAACATATAATCATTTATGATAAGTAATGATATAATTCCTGACAGACAATGTGTTTATATGAGATGTCATGCAGGTACTCTAGTCTAACAAGATTGTTGCACATGCACAAAATAAAATTGGTATGTATGTTTTTATAACTTTGTTTGTATCTTTTTAGCTGATAGATCTAGTGGATGGGGAAACAAACAGTCCAGACAAACTTGGGAGGCAGAATTTGCTAGAGTCTTTATCACCCCAATTGTCAGTGTAAGAGACTCTTGCATCATTTATAAACAGTGCATAACAGCTCCATGTTTATAGTACTAGATAAACTAGAAAGCAAAAAGAATATTTAAGTGATTGAATAGAAAAGACTTAAACATAGAGATTATTTTATTTTAGGGTCTAGAAAATAAATTGAACAATGCGAACCAGTACATGGCCAAAGACGAAAGACTGGGTGAGAGAATTACTTGATATTGCAGGAAAGCAAACCCTTTCCTTATATTCAGAGGCATCTTTTCACTCACATTTAATGTACAAACATTTTGTAAATTTGACATATATTGAAAATGCTTTGTTAAGTCTTACCTGACTGAAAGTGTGGTCAGGTTGATATGATGCCAGTCATGCAAGTAAATGCATGAGAGCAACTGAAAACTGTTTTTTTTTCTTTGTATGTCACTTCTACAGATAATAAAAAATACATGCGTGTCTGCTCAAATTTGTAGGTAACAATCCATTGATAAAGCTAGTGTATGAGACAGAGAGAGTTGACACAGGTAGAGATGTCCTGCAGGTTGACAAGCTGGCAGAGGAACCTGAAGTTTGGAGGTTCCGTTCCCGAATCACCATTAATAATGTCACACAGGAGTTAAGTGAATTCATGACAAGTAGAAGAGGACAGAAACCACACCAGCTGCTCATACTTCAGGCATTCTTACAGAAGGTACAGCATGCATATGCTCTTAGACCCCATTCCCAGAGATTAAATCGATCCAACAAGATCGACCTAACTCCCTGGGGGTTCACGCTAAATAGCTGTCAGCTGAGCAGGCACGAAAGTTACTTACCCCCTTATAGCTTGTAGTAGGTGTGACGGACATTTCAGCCAGATTATCTGATAGTAATCTAGTGAGACTCCCCACGGGGATAGATCGATCTAAAATCTATGGGAATGCGCCCTTATAGTCAGGTGTGTCTGTAACAAACAAGCACTTGCACTAAACAGCAATTCAATTGTTCCTGAAACTGTAAACTTTTAGAAGCATTATTTCACTCACAGGTTATAATTATTAAATAGGAAGTTTATATTGTTTATGGCATATTTTAGGAGCACTCTCTTAGGATGCTGCGCTACCTTCCCAGCATACTCAAGCTACAGCGACTGCTTTCGCAGGGTCACCAAAGACGTGTTAACAAGAATGAGGCAATGAGTATCACAATTAAAGAGATGCTTGAAAAGATGGTAGAGGGTAAGGACCTTTGAGTCATTTCTTTTACTATTAGTTGTTAAGGTATATCTTTAAAAAAAATTATGACATCTACCTTCTAAATTTGTTTACAGATTGCCTTAATCTCAGTGATGGCAAAGATGTTGATATTTTACAGGACCAGAAAAGATGGAGATGCAAACCTTGATTAAATGCTTCAAAGAGGTTTGGTATACAGTTAGAGAAGAAATTGCAGCAAAAGGTAGATTTAACACATATAATATTAAGAATATGCCAGAATTTTCCACAAAATAGTTTCAAAATTTATGCAGTCTTGTTGTACTTTTTTGTTTTGAACTTTAAGATGAAGAAATATCGGCTTTTTCCTTGGAATAATGATTTCTCCTTTAAATTAGCCTAGTCATTAGTATCTCATTACACACACTGTAAATGCCTGCATGTATTCAACGGATCAAAGTTGTTGTATTTTTTGTTTTCAGATATGAGTTTTTGTTTTATTTAATATTTGTTAGTAGACTCTATAGTACATTGATAGCATGATAATTGGTTAATGATCACCATTTCTTTTAACCAATATATTGTGCTATGCAAGGTGGTGTTACATGTTAGAATTGTATTATATCTTATTCTTCTATTGGAAGTGACCTTCCCAATTTTGTGACTTATTTTATTATCATGGTTGCAGGTGTGAAACAAACATATTAACCATAAAGATGGTTTAAATTGAGAACTCAGCAGTGTGTAAAATAGCAAACTCAGAAACAGCCAGGAAGGCAATCATTATAACCATTGCAAAAGTGGATAATTTAATTATATATAACATGTTGATTAAAATGTTATTTTAAAATTGACCAACAGGAATGACTCTTTCTCTGTAAATTGTCTGTATATTTGCCTTACTGTATTTTTTTTTCAAAGTATTTTGATAAACTTTCAGGAGTTAAAGTTGCCAATGGTATACTAAGAGTACCTAAAGAGCAATGTAGAATGCAGATTGAAGGCAGTACTCCTCTGTCCATACTTCTTCCAAACTCTCGTGGTCATGGTGTGTGCTCCCTGGCCCTAGTGCGCCATCTTATCAACCTACAGAATGACTTTCTGGAAGAACACTACTGGAAATACAGAAAAAAGTAAGGGGGTGGTATAATTTTCCAGGCTTGTTTTGTTTTTTATATATATATATATATTTTTTTTTTTTTTTAGAGATAAATTACCTTCAACTCATATGTTCTTTTCTCCACCTCTTACTCTGAGCCTTAAAATACATGTAAGATGCAAGTGTTCTTGGTGATTCGAATACTTTCATAAATTTCAATCTTTTCATTCATATGAACTGACTGTATAGTACGGAGAGAATTTGTCTCAAAAGGAAATTATCCTGCAACATACAGTATTGTAGAGATGTTGCAAGATGTAATCATTCAAGCACATAGTAACCAGAAGAAGTTGGAGAAGAGTATTTTATGTCCCAACTTAGCAAGTACAGAAAAAAGTTAACATCTAAAGTTATGCATATATATATATTACTAGTGCCATACCTGAGGATGTTGTCCAACCAAAGGACCTGATTGTGTCACACATAATCTCCTACCACCCTGAGCATGACTTGATGCCTCTCATCCTGGCTAGCTGCAACTATTCATATAAAATATCACCAACATCAGCTGGGTCCACACGGCAAGAATCAGAACTGCAGTATGATTACGATGCACTGGGAAAACAAATTGAGGAGCATTTTTTGAAAGGGAAAGTCAGGCTTGGCGGACAGGTATACAGATATGCCATTTTGTTGTTGATGTTAAGCAACTTTGTGATATATTCCATGAAAAGATTTTTCTTAGTAAATGTATGTGAAACATTGATAATATAAAAACTAGATATTTTGTTCACACTGAAAAGAAGTAATTAAAGAGAAAAAATTCAAGATTTTTTTCCCTTTTTCAGTTGGACACCATAACTTTCAGAGAAGATACAACACATGCTAGGGTCTTCAGGGACTTGGAAGAGAAGATACCTCAGGTAAGGCTTTTTGTGCAGAGGTGCCTCGGGGAATTTTCATCAGAAGTAGGTGCTTTTTTTTTACATAAAATTATATTATATCCAATATTCACAAAGAAAATATTACTCTGTATCAATTACAAAACTACTTTTATGGGTTTTTACCCTAGAAAGATACCTGCTTATATCATGTAAACTGGGCAGAAAGTATTAAAAATGAATTCTAATTGCAGGAACCACTGTCCCACCAAGTTAAGCACCAGATAGTAAGTGAGCTACGAGACTTCCAGGATATCTCAGATTCTCTGGTAGCTTTGGATCTGAGTGCAGAATTCCTGGTAACAGTTGGTGGAGAACCTGGGTCAAAAATTGCAGAATTCATGCAAAATACTTTAAGCTTAGAGACGGGATTGAAAAGTGCAAAGGTACAGTTTTGTAGTATTTAGCAATTTTACATTTAAGTTCCCATTTTATCCTATAAGTTTTAATAGTTGACTTATTTTCCTCTTAAAAATTATTTTTGATTCATTAGTTATAAAATTTACATTTTCACTTATGATACACAAAGCTGTATTATAGTTATTGGATCAAAGTTTCATGGTATTTTAATCATCTTTAGGCAAGACAACACTGTAGCCTGAGCCATGTTAAGTCACTGTGGCTGGTTCTTGCCTATGAACAGGCCAAACATTTAACTAAGAGGAAACAGGTAGGTCCTTGTCTACAGCAGTACGCAATGAAATCATTGAAATTTACATCCACCATTACTTCCTGGTTGCTAGTCCCAATTTTTTCTTTCTGCAATTTCGACCTGAATTGTGTAAAGTAATCTAAAGCTTGATAAAGATTATCATAACTTATATTTAAACACAAGGCTATGGGTGTTTTCTGATTGGAAAGAATTTGTAGTCATTTTCATCTTTTCTTTTTTTGTTTTGTAACATGTGCAATTTATCTTTGAACTCTTCTAGGACTCTTTCCATATCCTGGACGATCGCTACAGAGAAAAGTTGAGCCCTGAACAAGTGGTTGTTTTGGCAGAGGCCTTAAAACACTTGAATACTGAAACTTTTCTCTGTGAGTTGTTTGAATTCATTGTGCTGTATGTGTGTGACAAGAGAGAAGTGGCCATGGATGAAGATGCTGTAGAAATTGCTGATGACAGGTAACATGGTCATTCATTTTAAAATGATTTTTATGAGAATTGGGTAGACTTATGTAGTGTTTGTATTTTACTATCAATCAACTTGTCTCAAAGAATATAACAGTGTTAGTAAAGGTATCAGTTTAATAACACATTTTTCTTGATTAAAAGCGATTATAAATTATGAACTTTTTGACTTGCTGCCTGATAAGTTTATAATCAGTTCATTTATATTTTGCCCTTTAGTATGTAGATCTAAAATAAGATGCTTGTATTTGTGTAGAAGATTAAGAAATGTCAGACAGTTTGTCACTAATCTTGTCTTGGTTTCATCTCTAATCAGGTTAGGTCACCAGCTCTATTCCTACATAGACAGCAAAGATGGACCAGAAATTCCATCTTTGGTGCAGGAGGATGGGTTCCCAGAAAACTTTCAAGTCAAACACTGCGATCATATTTGGAAAGAAACTCTCAAAATGATGACCAATCCTGAAAGCCAATTTTAAATGTGCATACATTTATCATTGGAGTGCAGAAGTCTGAAAAGATTTTTTTTTTTTTTGCTTTTTGTGGACTATCAAGGACAAATGCTATGTGCTAGTGACTATCATATATCCAGTTATTTCAAATCTTGAAAATTTTGTGTCAAATTAGAAAGATATGCAGCTTTAACTTCAGCTCATTTATCCTTTTCAAAAATTTATGTGCCAAGAGCCAAAAATTAAAATTTAAAACGATTTAATATGAGATACTAGTATACACTTCTTCTAGCCTCATAGTGTGATTACAGGGGTATTTCCATATTTAAGTGTGTTTTTAAATATGACTTTCTTCATGCTGTTGCTTGCTTTTATTGGTATTATGCTAAGCTTTTGCTAACCATGTCTCATTACCAAATGTTTTTTTAAATACCTAGACAGTTTGATTTGAGGGGTTCGATACGTTAAAATGTCTACATTTGGCAAAATAGCCCTTTCCCAATTTCTTTAATATAAAATACTTAGTATTAGGAAATTAAAAGATTAAAACACATAAGAGTAAAATCTCCCTTTTTTTTCTTGTGACTACAGTTACCTCCCACACATTTCAGCGTACAGGGTGGTGAAGTGTTTATTGTTGATATATCTGCATTGTTAATGGTGTGAGATAAGGATGGGTTGCTGATATAACTAAGGTATTATAATAAATATATTGTTGATATATCTGCATAGTTAATGGTGTGAGATAAGGATGGGTTGCTGATATAACTAAGGTATTATAATAGATATTGGCATAGTTGATGACCAGGATGTGTACTACAATTCTGGTCCATCGTTTGGGGTTTATATAATTTTATTATAAGAGATATGAACCTCTAATTAAGATGTTCCATTAAACTAAGGCATTAACTTGACACTGTAATGATATTATCAGAAATAAGCCTTTCAAAATAGTTCCTGGTACCAGATTGTAGTACTTATTGTTGTGATGAAATAGGCATTAGAACAATGTCTGATAGCTGATCAGGTGAGAGAAGTGTGTTTGAAGTGGATACATATAACAGTTTTACCCCCAAAGTGCTGCTGATAAGTAATCAGCTTGGATTAACAAATTCACCCTGATATATTAGTGATATGAGAGTATTTTCTCATAACATGAACCTTTTTATTTCTGCATTTTCTAAGTAGATAAGGGAAAATCTTAGCGTATCGAACTGCTTAGGAGGGAAAGTGATACTGGTAAATCATAGAAGGGAAAATCTTAGTGTATCGAACTGCTTAGGAGAGAAAGTGATACAAATAAACCGTATGATCATAAAGACTAAAAAGTGCAATATTGCATCTTAAGTACAGAATGTGTTATAATGGGAATATAACATGACTAACACTTAAATTACCATTTTGAAGTTATGGAGTACTGCTTGTGCTCAAAATGCAATATTTGATCTGTATAATTGATTGTATAATTAATCTGTATTTTTGAGTTTGGAATATTGGCCAATAAGTTCGTACCTTACTTTGAAAAACTGTGGGTTATGGTACAAATTGAAATCACACAAATATAATATAATATTGATGAAGTACTAATGCATTGTTTTTCAATGTTATTAGATAGTAGCCAAAGAAAGATTAGGTATGGAATTGATAATTTCTCTAAACATATTTATGCAAATCATGCATGTTTGTAATTCTTATTTATATACTGCTACATAATTATACATGATATATCAAAGGTTTTATATCTGCATATTACTCTGAATAATTTATGAAATCAAACCAAAGAGAAGATAATCAAGGCTTTAGTTATGTTATCTATAATAACATTATATGAACCTTGTCTTCTTATTGAGGTCAAGGAATGGTTTACAGATTAAACTTTATTTGAAATATCATAGCCTTTGACTGAAGAACACATTAGTGATAAGGATTGCAAACCTCTTTTCATTCCTTATATCTGATGCTTAGCTTATATGCTATTGGTTTCCTATCTTAATATCATTCAAAATGATTATATATATATATATATATATATATATATATATATATATATATATCAGTGGTTTCATATCTTATTATTCAAAATATATATATGTACTGTTATATCAATATATATCAAACCAATATCAATATCAAACTTTCATATTATTGGTTACATGTCTGCATATTATTCAAAATGATTTATGAAATAGAGTAACGTTATCAAATGTTTATGTTATCTACAATTACATCATATGAACCCTGTCTTCATAAAGAGGTCAATGATTAGTTTACAGTTTAAACTTTATTTGAAAAACTCATTGCCATTGACTGGAGAAGACATTTGAGAGAGGGAGGGACTGCAAACCTCTTTATCATTCCTTAAATCTGATGGTAAGCTGATTTACTGAAACCTCTGTGTACTGATGTATTAACTAAATCATGAAATTTAACACCAATGCAGGCTTTAACTAAAAGAAAAGCTGCTTTTTCTCGTTTGTTTACGGATTAAAATGTGTGCAGTATTGCGTGTTGTTGTCACTTTTTGTCGTTGTAAAATGTGCAGTCTCTAGTTCCTTACAACAGTTCTTAGTAAACACTTATAAAATTGTTGAAAAACTACATTCAAGCGATGCTGAAATCTGATATTTTTATTCAGTTTTGGTCCTTGAGTTTATGAAAGTACATCGAGTTAACTTTCAATATGACTATTACATCCCAAAAGGAACTATGTAAATTTGATTCCATAAAAGACGAGAAATGTACATGCTAATTCCTACCATCTTAGGTAGATACATGTAACCTAAGATCTAATATTCCGTTTATTAGATCTTAGATGTAACAAGGTACATGTACCAGACTTGAACGAAGTCTAGAGGCCACCCAGCCACATATACTGGGCATGATATTCAAGAGTCTATACGATCGCGAGTTGCAAAATGCTCCTAGCCCAAGATACTCTCAGTTGAGAGATCAGGATCGATTTCACAGAAGAAACCATCTTCAACGTAATCACAACCCAGATCGTTCCACTTCCCACTGTCCAGCATGGTGACGCAGTGTTCGTAGTTGCCGCTGTTATCAGGCATGCCTGGCGTCCAGTTAGTGTACTGCATGGGTTTCCCTGTGGATATCCAGCGCCAATCGCCCTCCTTGGCAAGATCGTTTCCTCCGATGAGGGCGAAATAAGTGCCATGGTCTGGTTAAAGAATAGATAAAATGAGAGATATTATACAGGTTAAACTATGATCTTTGTGGCCGAACCCGAGAGCAATACGAGAAAGAGTTTCCGTTTCTTAATTTTGTTACCAGAACATATGCGCTAGCCTTATTTGAAGCGACAGAAGTAGTCGTGATCAACTGTTTGCCCTGAATGTAAAAACAAATATGGGCCCTTCTTGGAAATTTAAACATATATGTATTCTTATAACATTACACTTTGAATAAATTAAAGCATCGACAAAATTCTAGGAACAAACTACTTAAATTTCTCGAAAGCAGCTAAATAACTTTTCTTGCTGAGAAAATTTCACACTAAGATGTAAAAACAATGACCGAAATACTACAACAACTGTGTATTATATTTATTGGTTAGGAAAGCTTTCTAATTTCTCTCACCATTAACCATGAGGTCGCGCAAAAACTGGTTCTCTTCCTTGGATTCGATAGTGACGAGGTGAGCCCGAGGGTGCAGCGTTCTGCAGTAATCCTCCGCAGGCTTGTACGCCAGCTTCGGGTTTGTCACCAGTTTGTAGGAAGACTGTCCAAATTGCACGAAGTCCGAGGGAATTGCTAAGGAGATCAATGTAGTAAGCTGGCAGGTGTTTTGAGGGCTTGTGTCTTGGGGGTTTATCTTTTTTACTGTGTTCATAACGAGACAGTTTACTTTAGTCATCACTCAGTTCTTTTTATCACAAACTCTCTATAGTATTAGTGAAATTTGATTAAAATGAAATTTGTCCTTTGTGGCAGTTAAACATTGGCTAAAATATCTTTGAAAATGTCTGTACAAACCTTGACCAGCCATACACTTATTCTGCAGCTTTGTTAATGAAGATTGTGCCTTTTTAAGCTGGAAACGCAGCTGATCTACCTCTTCAAGGAGCATGTTGACATCCTGGCTATATACCAGAACACACAACGAAGTGAACAACCCGAAAAGCAAGACCCTCATCTTTCTTGTTAAAGCACAAGAAAGCCAAGAAGTGGTTGGCTTGTTACAGGTGTTTTTGAGGAAATGGGTTACCAATGGATTAGCTCATGTATGGGACAAATTGATATAATATTTTGACCCATGATGCAGGTGTTATTCTTCGTAAGAGAAGAAAAATTTCCCACGTGTACTTCAATAATCAACAGAGTTAATATCGGTTCTCATGAGTATACAGTAAGGTTGACACAAAGACCAAGAAGTGGGTTTAATCTTAAGGTAGCTTTTACAGATTGAAGTGTTGCACGCGCCAGCTTGCTGGTAGGGGTCACACGTGTCTCCAATATTATATTTCCAATCAGAAACATCAAACCATTATTTTAATTTTTCACAATATTTATAAAACATAGCCAAGACTTATATACGCTTTTGTAACAGATAGAAGACCTCGGATAAACAATAGCCTAGCAACCGAGCATTGTCAAATTTCTGATTAGCAAGACAAACTACAAAAAATCGTTTTCTTAACATCCATCTTTATTATAGGTGCTGGTACAACAGGTAACTACAGAATTAAATATAAAATTTTCAATATGCGATAATTTCTTTTAATTGCACTTGTAAATTGTGATATATCAAAAATAATTGAAGACAATCTCTCTTGCCCTCAGCAACTGCACTTCTGTCTGTAAAGGTCTAAGCACACTTTACTATTGAAATGTCAATCTTCAAGGGGAGAATCTTTAAGAAAGCATATTACAATTTCCTTTAAGATGTATGTTTAACAGATTTCATGAGATAAATAAATGATTGAAGTGCATTTTCATGAGAGGGGGTCAATATTGTCTCACTAGTTTCAGTGAAAAAAAATGTGTCAGAGGCTTATGTGTCTGAATGCATAAAATATCATAAACAATATTTAAATTCATGCATTACATTTGTATAAATCAAGTGTATAATTCTGTCAAAATTATAATTGTTTGCATAAGTTATACTACGTCAAATATTACAAATAAAGCTGTTATCTCTGGGGACGGTATATTTCTCGATAGCGAATAAATATGCTCATTGGCAATTATTAACAGGTAATGTAGGCCTTTTTGGTTTTTATAACTTTTCTCTTGTTCAAACGTTTTCAATTACTTTTCATCACTCCGCTGGTTTTATTTTTACGCCGAATAAGAAGTTTCCAAACTGTTTGCCTTGGCATGTAGTTGGCACGCTACCTCTGAATGTTTCTTTTTGTGCAGTTTTATAGACGTTTCAATCAGGTCCTTCAAATCAAAAGCTATGCCCACAACCGCACCTGTTGCCCCGGCCACTTTACCTATTTTCTGTGCAGTGGTTAATGTTTTAATCAAGGGTCCCCCAGCTTCTGACACCGTCATGGATCCTTTACAAACGGCCTCCTTGACGGTTATCACCGCACTGCGACCTGCCACCACAGTGGAAGAAACTACGCGAAGAGCCAATAAAGAAACTGGGTGTTTTAACAGCTGGCCAGCTCTAGCAAGTAAATTATGCACCAGGTTTTGGGTGTCCAATTTATTATCTGCTACAAAATTCTTTAATTTTGATATAGATTTTGAGGCTGCACTGAAAGATTCTTTGTATTTTTGCAGTGCTTCCTGCGCCTTTTTCATCTTTTTGCTGTTAATGACCACCTCAGCGATATCTGTCGCGGCCTTGGTCAGTAACGAAGTACCTCCTACGACGGTGCCTACAGCTGTAACCACGAGCGAAGCACCAAATGTAAAGAAAGCCAACCCAAAGCCCGTGAGGACAAGTCCGCCTCCAACTACACCAGACGATGCAGCCGAGATCTTAACGATATCCATTTTCCGCTGCTGGTCTTCTAATTCGACCGCCAGCTCCCTCAGTCGTTTGACGGCGACATCCTTTGTTTTTTCAACTTCCTCGAATGCCCTTTCGCAATCAGTCACATATTTTTTGAGTTGTCTCTCAATTTTCAATTGCATGGTTGTCCGTCTAACACCTAAAACATATTTATAACAAAATTAATATAGAAGCACATGAAGATAAGCGTGCAGATTTGGGTAAATATAGATATAGGCCTATACATATACATATGTACAGGATTTCTTTCACAGTGACAATTCTGTTCTCATTTTCTTCTAGTTAATATTATCATATCCCTACATTTCTCTTCAGTAAAATTAGTTTTCTTTTGATGTTATTTTAGAGAGAAAGAGGAAGAGGATATCTTAATTTTTTTTTACATAAATTTATCAATATATTTGTTTTATACATTCATTTTGCTCCGAGATTAACTTCAATTTAATGCTTACCAAAATAACGCTTCGATACTGTGATTCACCTTGCAGCACTGGNTACATAAAATGCTGGAATAACTGTCCAAAGCACATGAGGAAGTTGACAAACACACTTTCAGGATAAAGTCTATGCACAACAAACCTGAAATGGGTAAATATTTCATCGGTCTTGAAACCTACGAGGAATTTAAAATTTTCATGACTTTTTATGCTCTGACATTACCTCAGTATAAAAAATGGCATGAAAATTGTCATGTGAAACTTTGGTTTGATTTCACAGCAAGGTTAAAGCTGGTTTTAGTTTTACTTTAGTTTAAGAGTTTTGTTATCGCCATTGCTTAGACCTCAGTAAAACTAAAACCAGGTTTAATCCTGACTGTGAAGGAGTATTGAATCGTATATTACTTATGCAAATAACAAAAAAGAGAACAATTTTACCAAATATCACATTTTTATTATCACATTGCACTTGATCATATCTAGAAAATGTTTAAAACATTGCATTTTAAAACATGAAATATCATAAGGTACCTTGGAAAGATATTTCCAAGGCAACATCATTGGTTTTATTATGCAAAATAAAATTGTGAAACAAAATCTTGAATTGTATTTATTCAAAGACAAATATTTAAAAAAAATAAACGGTTTGGGCATTCCCTTCAAGGGCTTGGTCCATTCTCCACTGTCTTGATTCAAACTTCAATCTGGTAGGCCTACTTCTAATTTTCTCTTCCAAACTCCACTGTCTGGATCCAATATTTTGTTTCTCTCTCTATCCTCACTGTACAGTTTACACCTATAAAACAAGTAAAAAATAGTCATGAAAATAATTATTAAAGTCATCATCAATACATCTATAACAGTGATTATTTACATACATACATATTAGACTGATGACAAAACAGAAAATTGACATGTCATATTTTTAACCGAAATCTACTTGGATACACAACAGAAGGATAATGAAGAAACGAATGATAGATGCACTAATAATGACAGTGAGCTTGTACTAATTTTATTGTACAGTGCACTAGCCCACCTCAGAGATTGTATCAGATAATTGCCTGAACCAGGTGACAAATTTATCTCCCCAATGAATGACTCAGGTGAACATAATTACATAATGACCACATAAGGGTTTTGTTTTTGGTCGTGTATTTAAGAAAATATCTTGTAACATACCTTTTTATCAGCTCTTCTTTTTTGCCTGATGTGTGGGCAACCTACATTTTAACCAACGTTTCAACTCCGGCACCATTGTCGGCTCAAATGGCTTGTTTAATATCGCCCCCGGCACGTCTTCTGCTTCCATCATGTGTTCCTAACGCTGTCAACAACGCTTCCGGTACTATTTTGACCCCTGCAGTGCACAATTCCGGTCATGCGCACATCGCACCTTTCGAATAATGCAAGTCCTACAGTCCGTGGTTGGTCTATTTGGTGGAAACTTCCCTTCCTATTCGTACAGAACGCGAGAGATTACACATAGGGCCTACGGGTTGAACAAATCGATTAACGAGTTCAGCAGTTTTCCTCTGTACGAGAGATTCCCATTAAAAGTCTGTTAGTAATTTAGGCCTACTTTTGATTGATTCAATCACTAAGGTAAAAAAGTACATTTGTAGTTTCTTAAAATTCTCTATTTTATGAAGACCAAGACGGTGTTATGTTAACTCAGCGATTTTAAATAGCAATAAGCAAAAATAAAAGAACGCACAGGTCCAAAATAAAATGCATAAATTTTCTTAGGATTGTGTTTGGAAATAAGTGTTTCAGGCAGTGTCGTACGGTTGTAGGCCTATTGTGTTTACTAAAATTCCAAACTTTGTTTAACTAAATATATCTTTGTATTAAATCTTTGTAAAATCAATATATAAAATACCAAACTAGATATATTTCCTTTGATTGATCAGCGTGTTTTCAGTACAATTAATGGAATTAAAATATTTTGTAGAAGTGAAGTCCATAGTAGCAATATGTGGCATGCATGACGAAATGATTGAATGCCTGTTACATGTAGGCCTATCTTATGAATAATACAGTGACAAGCGGGCTCTTAGTGTCTCATTTATTACAGCAGTATACAGTTGTGTGCGGACTTAGGTCGGCGAATATCTCAACACACACACACACGAATCGTTATTTGAGTTTCACGTAAACTTAAATCATTCATATGTATTTCTTCTACATATGTGACACGGAACTACAGGCACGTTCCATGACTGTAGAGCATGGGTTTCTTTAACACATATTATTTATATAATTTGTTTGTCCTGTTTACTTAAAGGAGACATCAGGTATATACGGCTAATAAGTATACACTGTCCACATTACGAACACATGTTCAACTATCTTATCAATAATAAAAGACAAAACGTCGGCTGAAAAGAGCAATGTATAAGTATTATTAGTTGTGAAAATGTATCCAGATGAAGGTGTTTCGTTGTTTATTTTATGCACAGTAAATGAATCACTAGAATAAGGAACAGAACAGGGTAAAATATCTACAGGATACGGTTTGACGGAACTATCAAGCAGCCATGTATTATCCTCAAGTTAACAGGGTACGTATACAGATTCATATAGGCCTTCATGTATGTATATATAGGCCTATATACAGGCGTCCTCTATCTGATTCAAACCAATGACTACAAAGCTGACATGGGAATGTCATGGATCTAAAGATACGATCTTCTCAATCCATGGCGGATAAGGGGTTTGGCAGTGGGCAGTGGTGGATTTAGAGGGGGGTCAGGGGGTCCTGACCCCCCCCCCCCCCAATTCGATTTCTGGTCCCCTCTTGAAATGAGAATTTCGACTTGCTGAATCATAGTTCTAAACCGTACCATATGGTACCGTTCACCCTCTTAAATACCAAAATTTTTCGTGGCCCTTCAGAGGGTTCCGAACCCCCACGCCAAGTTGGGGGGGGGGGGGGTCGGCTTTGCATCCGCGGACCTCCCCCTCCCCTTCAAATAATCCTGGGTCCGCCCCTGGTATGCCCTGTTATGTTTAAGATATCCTCTTCTACCTCTTAAAAGACCATGCACCGAGCAAAACGATACAAAAACCGAGCAATTTCCCAATCATTGTACATTTTATGGTAGGTCGTCTTGTCTACTGTTTTTTCGTCCTTGTGACCAACTCCTGGATCCGCCATTGTCGATATTGTCTGGTTTCTCGGCACTTTCAATGATCAAATATACGATCTTTTGTAGAGTTCTAATCGATATCTATATGTATGACAACGATCCACTGACCGAGTCGTATACAAAAAATCATTAGATTTTATGCAAACTCTGCTATTTAGCACACGCCGACCGGTGAGAAATGTCGAGCACGCTGAGAAATTCTCATACTGGTAATATAAAATGGTATAGTTGAGAACCCAAAGCTAATTCATTTGCTGCATATTTTACGCACAAATTCTTCGTACCGCTCCACCAAGAAAATGTTAAGTGAACGTACTTGTGTGTGTACGAGCACAAAACAAAGCAGTTGGTGTATTTGCGTTGAATTAGAAATTAAGTTAAAAGCATTACGTAGGCGTTACGGTATGTAGTTTACGCACGATGTCACGAAGGTATACGCAAAAATACAGGGTGTCTCAGTATAAATGTAACAAAAGAACGCTCATTCATTTATTTTCTGTTTTATACAAACTATATTATATTTCTAAAAATCAAAGAAGTCAACAAATCTACTGCTATATATTAACAACATGCCAATAGCTCTACTGGCAAAGATTTTATGTTTGCAGCTGATGAGTCGGTTAGAAAAGTTCTGATCTAGCCACCCTGACAGAGAGACATTTTGTAGGGGTCCATGATATTCCCTACCCAGGTTCTTTCTAAAATATTATTTACTGTAGGCCTACAACTGAGGCATCGGAGAGGGAATATAACAACAACTACACATCTTCAGTTCCAAATCTAAAGTGTTTATTTTGTATAACATGTAGTCTAAAACGTTATCTACAGGGTATCTACATTTATATTCTTATTAGGTTAACTTAATCGCATATAAATCATTTATTGTCTAATAACTCGCAACGAAAAAACCAACCACCACATCAAATTCTATTTCGTTAACCCTTGCTACATGTATGAGCATGCCTGTCTGCGTCGCAGAATGCGCACGTACCACGCGTTAAATGTACTTCACAAACTCTCAAACTATAACCATCTACCAACTTCTCCTAACCAATACATCTATTTTCTTTGTTGTACACATTAAATTTTTAACCACCTTTTATACAATTCAATAAAATCTTCCCAACCATTTTCACAGTTGCATTCTAATCTGTATTACCGAATGCGTACATACCACGAATTAACTGTACATCAGAAACTATCGCCTTTTACAGGCTTATCACTACTACCACCTCTTCTTTGTTACCTACATCCCGCTTGCACCTTTAACACTGTAGAAATTTCACTTAGTAAATCACGAATACTACAAAACGTATAGGCCCCTACCCTTTTTCAATACACCTACTTATGGCAACTGGCCCCTCTTATACCTTCTCTTATACATTACTTTTCTGACCGGGTTATAATCTCTGCGTTTGCTATCGATACTATTTAAAATAATCTTTTGTCACATATTTGCGATTTACTTCACCAGTCCGACGCAGACGGCTGAAACAGTCTCGAATGAAAACTACTCTCTTCGCGATACTACTGCGCAATGAACTAATTTCCTCACCTGACTTGCTTCTCTAATACATTTTCGTTGACTCGTTAAACGACAATAAATTCATTCATATGCTTATTCGTTTCATTTAATCGCATATAAATCATTTATTGTCTAATAACTGGCAACGAAAAAACCAACCACCACATCAAATTCAAATCATTTTATTTCGTTAACCCTTGCTATTAGCTGTTGCATACCTGTTTGCGTCGACCACGAAGAACGGGCAATTTTATTCGATTTTAGTTAAAAAACGACAACCATAAAAATCCTTTTATTCTTAAGATGTACAAGTATACTTACAACCTGAAAAAAATACTTACCTTAATAACGAATTGAAAATGAACATGAATTATGAATCTGATTAACATTTTCCCATATTTAGAGATATCTGTAACGGGGGCTTTTACGGGTGATAAAAGCGCGTCACTGTATAGTTATGAACAACACCCTTTTTCCTGTGAAAGGAATTTTATTTTGCTCATATGGACTACATCGAGTTGAAGATGTGACCACGATGTCTCGCCCTCAGTCTCTCCTTTCTATGGCTCGGATACGCTTCTATTTTGCCCGACACGCTGAACACCCTGAATGCGGCAAAACGCTGCTTTTTTATAATAAAATTAGGGCGACAGGTGGTTCATATCTCTCGTCATGGATAGAAATTTTGATTTAACATTTATTTAATTATTAGAAACACTTATTCTCGACCTTCGACTTAAATATTGTGATTTGCCCGGTTCTTTGATTATTAATATTTAACTTTGACTGAACCGGAACTGGTTATTTTCCTGGGTCTAGCGAAGTGCTTATTAAATACTAATATACGATATCGAGAGACAATCAATTACATTTTTCTATATGCAACCGCTGNACTCTTATCTTATCTTATCTTATCTGTTGCTCTGTCCACTTTGCTTGCAGCGCCGAGAATTAATTACAGCTTTGGAAGTAACTGGCTCGCGCTGCCCGTAATTACGCCGCGGGGTGTTCAGGGCACAGACCGCGATCACAAGATACCGCAAATAGATTTTTAGATTTTTAGAAAATAGATTTTTCATGTGAACGCAGCCTTATCTATTGTATATGTGCCCCATTTTTTATTCATAAAATTAGAGAATTTTTTCTTAACTTCACAAACGTCTGTCTATAATTTTACTTATATAACCCGCTTTTTCGTTTTTTGTCCTTGGAATCGATTTTATTTGAAAAATAATATTATTTTCTACACAAAATTGAAAAATTTTAATGCCAGTGTTTACAACTGCACTTTCATCGATCCAGTGTGTACTATTCTCACAATGTTTTGATTATCTGTAAACTTTTTGCAACTTTTAATAAATTTCGTAAATGACTGCAATGAAATAAGTAACGCCTTTCATTCTCTCGTTGTTGAGCTCTGCTTTTTCTCACTATCGGACCACATTTTGTGACAAATCTCAAAATTGCATCGAACCAAATAACCTCCGTGTGCGTATCGCATGCATCTGAAAACCCCAGTATTTTTGGTACATCTTCCACGAACATGGCTCTGCGATTTAAATAGTCTGTCTATGTCAGATAACCAACATTTTAATTCATTCAGCATATTTAATGTGTCTTGCAAATCATCGAGATCATCCTAATTTTCCTGCCATTTATGACTTGATGCAAATTTCTAGTCATCATATTCGTTTCATCACCTAATACTATATGTTAAGATATATTTTTTCTCGTAAATCTAGCTAAACTTCGAGCAGACATTTTTGATATATTTTCCATTATATCAACTTTTAAATCTGCAACTGTTTTGTCAATTATTGATAGAATTCCTTTTTCCAAATTCCAATGTAATCCCAATCAGTTTAACTACTGTGTTGGTCTCATACTTTTGACTTCATTTACAACGAAAGCAGATTTAATTAAATCGTGTCTGACTAGATTCGTAAAATTTCCACAAGGCTATTAATTTTCGCTAAATCCCAAACCATCATCCAGACACATAATAATTGTTATATGTTTTGATCGCCAATGTTTCACTAAACATCTCAAAACTTTATTGAATATATGTAACCTGCTGACGAAATTCCAAAAGGAAGCACTGTATCAACATAGTATTTTATTTGTCCGTTCATACACCAAGAAAAAACCCAAAAACTCTTACTGTGATTCCCAAATATCTATGTGATAATAACCATCTTTCAAATCAAACTGAAACTTCTACCTTCCCAATTTAACATATTGTAGAGCCTCGTTCGCGTCTTTAAATTTTATTTTCTCTTTCCAAATGTATGGATTCACGTGTCTAAAAATCGAGTACTAAACGTTTCTTTTTGCCGTTAGAGGTAACCGTTAACGGATACATCATCTTTGGAGTTTCTTTCACTTCTCGAATTCTGCCAGATTATAAAATGTCTTTGATGATAAATTCTGTGTTTTCGAGAGACGATTTATTATTCTTGGTAACCGAATTCGGCGGTGTCTGAATAAATGGAATGACATATCCATTTTGAATACGTCTAGAATATAGTTATTAGCCTGTATGCTTTCCCAGAACTGGTAGTTTCTCTTAAGTCTCCCTTTAACATTAATGTTTTGTTGGTAATCCTTCAACCTATCCGAATCTCTCAAATTATTATCGATCTAATACTTATCTTGCAATTTTGATTTGCTCGTCTTGCTTCTATTAGTTTTGTTATCACCCGCTTCCTTGCTTCCTAGCTTCGCTTGCCCTGATTGTGTGTCCGTGTGTTCTTCCACGTGGAGGCACTGTACCCTGTGTTTGGTAAATGTTTGGGCAAAACTCCCTCCAATGGCCATATTGCCCACAGGCAAATCACTGGTCGTTTTATATTGGTAATCTTTTTCTTCGAAAAAGAAAATATCCTCTGTCAGATACACCTGCAAAATTGACTCGTGCAGTATAATTCCTTTTACCGCTTACCAACCTGCTTCTGACTTGTCTGCTATTTTTATGAGTTTATTTCGCTTTTGTAAAATGCCAATGCTTTCTTTCAGTACCTTACGGACCTCTTTCACCTGCCCTTCCTTAATTAACACATCTGCTTTTTGCATATTTTCAATTACTTCGGTATCTATTTCGAACTGTTTTTGATTTCCCGTTAATTAAAATTTTTGCTATACTGTCTTGAACTTTTTGCTTCGGCTTCGACTTTCTTCGGCGAGTTCTCTTTTCAACTGTTTTAACTGTTTGTCCATATAGATTTTAAACCACGAAAACGTGTCTGCCATATTACCGACTGAGCTGTTTTCATTTACATCACCTGTCCTTTTTGGTGTTCCTTTGGCACCCTCTTCTTTTCGTGTACCACCAAATCTACAAAATCTCTTCTCTGTCGTTCGTCTACAGAATCTTCACTATCCGAATCAGACGCCTGCCTCCTTTTTGACACATTTGCCATTTACTTCACCAGTCCGACAAAGACGGCTGAAACAGTCTCGAATGAAAACTACTTGTCTCGCTATTCCAATTATTCTAATGCGCAATACGCAATCTGCGCATCTCAAATTCCCCACCCTTGCTTGCTTCTCTAACACATTTACGTTGACTCGTTAAACGACAATAAATTCATATATTACCTCAATATCCCCGTACACGCATTTAGCCTTAATTTTTGTTAAGTTCAGAGGCTTAAATATAGTTTGTTCATTTGACATTCTATGTAATATGTTTCAACGACATAACTGTAATTTTTTCATTGAAAAAATTAAACTGAATGGCGATGGACCAGCAGAATTATGAATGGGAATTTTAGAATAAAATTTAATGTTCTTAAGTTCTAGACTTTTCTTAACGCAAAAATGTGCATCCATTGTCAGTTATATCTTTTGTATGCATATTTGTAAGCCTTGCTGTGCAGGTTTATCCATTCCGTGCACGATTGAGTCGACAAATTGCCTTATTAATTCATAATTGATGTCGATAGCACAAGATTCCGATTTTTGACGTTTCTCTTTGTCACTTTACCTCTAAGTATTTCAAGGGTTCTTCTGCTTGACTTGACTTGGCGTATTTTTACCGTCTTTAAAATATTGCTAAATTTACCTATACGTCTCAAAATATCGGTCTCCTTAACATTTTAAGATGCATTTATATACATACACACGTTTGAAAGTATGACACATGAATTATATACACCCTATGCGGGTCCCTTCCTTCGCAAGGTTTGCATGCGTGTCGACGAAATTAAAGGAACTTCAGAGGCTTTTGGCATCTATTTATATTTTCAGAGAGCACCGCGAACCGGTCACGAGTTCCTTACTGGGCAGATGAATATAAGGATCAGAATGATGCAGCTTTGGCGGAGGCAGCGCGCCCTCCCAAGACTCTTTGCCATTCTGGGGCCTTGTTTTATCTTGTTTTTGCTCACCAAACATTTTAACCATACAGTTATACAGACACAGCTGATGGACACGGATGTAGATATGGATCAAATGCCATTTCCTCCAACAGCAAGCCTCCCAGCAGCTGCTTCACAGGTCGGTACTGTTAAAAAAAACAATGTAAGTCGACCCAAACTTCAGAAATATGCTCCCCAATCTCGAGGTTGGCTGAAATGCACTTTTGAGGACGAGGACCTGCCTCAGCCAGTGCCCATTCCAGAGAGACCAAATGGGGAGAAATTGATTCTGCTTTTCAATCACAAATGTAGACATTACTATAGCGAAGAACATGACATCAAAACAGTTTTTCAAGGTTGTCCCGTGAAGAACTGTATAGCTACGGAAGAGAAATGGTTGGCACCAAAAAGTGATGCTGTAATTCTTCTAGCCCCAGCATTTGTTCGATATTTTAATTTCCCTCTTCATGCTCCAGTAGCCCGAGATAGACTGCCAAAAGTAAGACCCGCGGAACAACGTTGGATATTTTACACAAGGGAATCTCCTTGTCAGAGCCATTTTCCCAAAACAAAAGAAGCAAGGGATTTCCTTGGCCTTTTCAATTGGACGATGACGTTCAGGACCGATTCCGACATACCTCGGCCGTTTGGCGTACCTGTAAAGAGAACTGTGCCTCAGAATAAAGACTACTTGTCGAAAGCAAAATCCAAGCAGAAGATGGTGGCTTGGGCGGTAAGTCATTGCGAAACCTGGAGCCGCCGAGAAGACTATGTTAAAGAACTCCAAAAGTATATTCCAGTCGACATATTTGGTCAGTGCGGAGAAGAGTGCGGTAACAACGACAAATGTTTCGGAAATATTGATGCAAACTATAAATTTTACCTGGCGTTTGAGAACAGTTTTTCCACTGATTACGTGACTGAAAAGTGGTACCGTAGCGTATTGTATGACACAGTGATTATTAGCCGCGGGGGTGCCGACTACTCACGGCTAGGGATCAAACCGGAATGGCACATCAACACAGCGGACTTTAAGTCTCCAAAAGAACTTGCTGAATATTTGTTAATGTTAGATAAAGACCCCGAGAAATACGTGAGCTATTTGAACTGGCGGAACGAGTACACGTTCGAGGAGCCAACCGGCATTGACTGGTGCGAGCTGTGCAGAAAACTGAACGACCCAAATGAACCCCCCAAAATATACTCCTCCGATGACATGTTGAACTGGTTTTATGGTTCAACTACCGATAAAACAGATTGTAGATTACCCACTGATTTGAACTTTTAAAGAGAAATGCATAAAACTCAAATTTTATTCCATGAAAAATTACTTGGACTTAAAAGGAGTTCAGGAGATCTGTTTTCCGTTTGAACTGTTTGTGCAAGTACGGGCTCGTAACCGCGGGTGCTTCAGTAAATTATTTTAAATGTTTGAAAACTGTTTCATTTATGAAAAGTGTTTCATATGTGAAATTTTTGTGAAAATTGAATTTAATAAGAGGATATTGTATACTTGTACATTGTTGTGGGTGCGTATGAAGAGACAGAAAGATTAGACGATTTGATTTTTGCATATTTTATTAACATGCCGGGGCTATCAATTTTTAAGGGAGGAGTATATATTAATCCATCCGACATTGTGGGTTTAAAGCGTTGTTTTTTGGTTAAATTCGTTCAATTATTTCGCTCATCTGAAACTGAATCAAAGAATGACAGTCAGGGGAACAGTTAGAAAGACCACTTCAACTTTCACATACATGTATTGCGTACAGTGCGTTGCAGCTATATTCTTACATATTGAATTGAAGCAATTGAAGTAAAGCGGATACAAGCTGTCGAAACCTCCCCTTGATATGATTCACTGCATATTTTATAACCGCAAGTTCGTTTCTGTATTACACGTAAGATACACAAAGTCGCAAGTAGAACAGAGGCTTGAGTCTTAAATATGTAAAAGCTGCGCGTTTGATACGGTATTCTACTCCAAAATTAATCCATACTCTAAAACTCTAAAACCTGGATAAATGAGATCAAATAAACATTAAAAAATATCCTCTTTGGCTCCTTTTAAAACGAAACTTAGTCCGTTAAAAGCATTAGCAGACTACATTCTGAACTAATATTGAAATCAGTCTTTTACATAAAAGATACAGGAAAAAGCTATTTGCCAAATGTAGGCATTTATGATATACCAAGTCCCCTTGAATGTGAGTATTATGATTTTATGAAGTGGCAGGCGCAAGTTTCAGTTGCTGTAGATAGGATATACATGTATTATCAAAAAACCAAATGCATTTCCTGACTTCTCAAAGGTTAAGTTAACGGCTCTAAATACTCAAATGTGTTTTAATGCATTTTCAGAAAGTTCCTCTTATCGCCATATGTTGACTTTACGTTGTATTTACCTTCGAAATAGTGTACCCAAACGCGTTTTCTGGATTATTCATTATTTTGAGTATTCTTTTGAAATGAAAGTTTTTTTTTTTTGCAACCTTACGTCGTCTTGAGCCTTCGTACATGGATTTCAATATTTTAAGTTTCTATTTACAACAACTGAAGTCGATTTTTTCATACATGTAGAATATTCTATAAGTCGTATTATAGCTACCCATTCACAAAATCGTTTCCGTTTGAGAAAACATCTTCCTTTTTCGCTAATTAAAACATCTAGCTAGCTGATATACGCTATGAAGAATACACAAATGAATAAATAAACGAATTAAGTCGAGCCAATTAGACAAATACATATATTTATTTTAGAATTCATCAATGAAGGGAATCACTATTCTCTACCACATTTTATTTCAAAAAGCTATTTAGAATGACGATAATCATTCAAGTCTTTAAAATGTCCCAACTAAAAAATATTTGTATGTAGGCCTACATGAATTACATGTATAGACCAGTATTACGTGCGTATGATGAAAATGTCCAGGTGTCCGGTAAATTATGTAGTACGAGCATTCTTTCGCGATGTTTTGAAGAAGAGAGTTACAGAATGTAGAGAATACACAATACATCAGTTAAATGTGACCTATAGATTGACTTATGACAGTTTTTGTCACGCATTGCGCGATTCGTGCATCAGCCTTGACATTTATTAAATTTAGAAAGAAAGATACATAATTATTATTATTTATTATTATTTATTATTATTTAAGTATGTTCTTCTGGTGTAGCTTCAAGGGGAAAAGGTTTTAAATGTAAATATAAAAGGCTAAGATAAATTTTCGGCGCAATGGTAGAAATGTAGGTCCTGTGTTTTCTTGTAAACCGTGGCATATGTTACAAGTAAAAGAGAACAGACATCCGGGTCATTGCGTGCGCGCACACGCACACACACACACACACACCCATTAATCGTCATTCAGTAGGCTACTATAGGGCAAGGCGTCCTTTTTCTACCGTGTATTATCTTCACCACTCCATACAACCATACATGCACCTTAAAAAACGTTATCCCATATGGTTTCATGAATTTTTATACAAGTTATATATACATTTGTACGCTGTTGATAACCTTTATATAAATACATGTATCACAAGACCTTATGTAAATGACTTCAACATTAAATCATTCCTTTTCAGTTGGGATTTCTATAATTTACACGGTATGGCACGTGTCATCACATAATCAGTGAGTCAATGTATTCTCCCATGCAATGTCTTAATATTGGAAATTGTACGTTTCAAGTTTATTGTACATCAATCAAAGATAAATTATTATTTTGCTAAAGTCATACCCCTCAGTAGCGAAGGGCCCAAAGATTATGTACTCTTACAGTACGTTACAAAAAAACTCGGTGGTTCCTTTCTTGGCATTCTAAAACTTCATCCTCCTCTTCCCTTTGTCTTCCCCGGTTTTCTTAAAGAATGCCATTTTTATAGGCTATCTCACTGATAAATTTCAATCAGTTGTAGCATGCGAATGCTGTATCCAATTACTTGAAAGGTATTTGTGGCTTTGCTGTCAAAGTCGCATATCTCTATGTGGACTGTTGTCATGGTGACGAGGGTAGTATAGGTTGCCATGGCTACCGTAATGTCGACGATCGTCTGCTCGTCGGTCACCGCTATGATAGGTACTGTAACCGCTTCCGTAGTCCGAAAAGCTTCCAGATCTGGAAGGAACCGAATTTCTTACAGGTTGAACACCGTCAGGGATGTGGTAAATCATGGCCCTTTCGGAGCTCGGGCTTCCTAAAGTGCTGTCTCTGTATGCTACGTTGCCATATCCCTTTTTATACACAGCAGGCGAGCTCTTGTGCGAGCCGGCATGGCCGTTCTTTCGTTTTTTATGTTTGTCCATGTTAGGCATGGTGTGAGAGTAAAAAGGAATAGGAGTGCTGGTGACACGTGACGGCGGCCTTGACGTAACCGGTGAAACGTATTCCACCGTGGTAGTTCTCCCATCAGGTGATACTTGGTGGACAAATGTGCGTTTTTGTACACGATCTCGCTTTTTCTTTTTGCAGCACAGTAGACAGAGTAGTAGGGATACAATCAGAAGAATCAAAAGAAATATTGCTAGAATGATCAACAATATTGCCCACCAAGGAAGGGCTGTGCAACGTTCTCCCAGGAGGGCTTTCCTAAAAGAAAAAAAATACGATTTTTATATTTGTTTAATGAAATTTAATCTGTAAGTCGATGATAATACAACGGTCATTTTGTAAGTCTGCTACCTTAAGCGATATAAATAAATCAAGAGGAGGATATACATGTAGTTACATGTGGCAGTGCTAGGCACATTATTTAATATTTAATATCCTTGATTTGTCTGCGTGCTTTCGTGAATAGATACCACCCGGTCCTTGTTTGACAAATTTCCACATAAACACAATGTATAAAGTAAGCACTGTAAAATTTTATGGATTGTTTGGGTTTTAACTAATTTGTGTCACCAATTAACTAACCTATATTCCTTAAGTATGTGGTCAAATCCTTTAGCGTAATTGCCCCCGTCGAACAGCGGCCTTGCTTCAGAGTAAATATCTCCAACGCAATCACCTGACAGCTTCTTATAAGCTCGAGAACCCGCAGAAGAATACAACTGAATGGAAAAATAGCAAAAACAGAAATGAAACGTTAACTGTTTGCCTGAATGATCCAGACTGTAATGGTAAAATTGATTATCAATTGGAAAATGTAAACTCGATGTAGTTCTGAGGTCTGAAAGTTAATAAAACTAGACATATCTTTTCAATGTGTCCATTTTTGAAATTATAAGAATAGTTCAAATTTGTAAAAATAAAATTACTACATGTATCACTGGATATATAGCGAGCTTGTAGCCTCACATTTCCAAGAGAAGAAGGAAAGAAACACTAAAAAACACGAATTTCACTTACCTGCCTGTCTTCTTTTGACCAAAATATTACAACATCGTTATCACAGCTGCCAAAGTTCCACTTGTTCTGGACCAATTCACTGGCCCATTTCTTAGCTTCTATCGAAGTAGAAGAACTGAATGAAAGAACAAAACAGTTCAAGATTTAGACAGTAAAATGTGAACTATTTTAATTTACGTAGGGTGGGGTGGGGAGGGTAGTTATCTAGGCTCGTAGCCAGGGGAGGTTCGGGGGTCGGAANGTTTTCAAGGTGTGTGTCAGATCGCATTACAGAGTATCATACCCTGAACAAATTTTGAGTGGTGATGCAATGCTTTTCAACCCCGCTGAGAATCGTCACTATCACATCGCGTACTAGGCAAGAGCGGTGTCGCGTCTGATACTGTGTAATGCGATCTGACACACACATTGAAAACGGGTAGTGTGGTCTGATCTACCGGTGAATTCAGGATCGTTCGGTGCCGAGTCTGGTAGTTGGGTAGGCCTGGTATTGGCAATAAGGAGAGATTTGTATTCTTTAAAACGACTCTCAATATTAGCCTTATTCTTTTCCAATCTCTTATAAAACAAGAAGGCCTGGCGATTTTTTATCTCGTTTCTTCGTCTCATACTTATACTACATGTACTACAGTGGGGACAAGGCCCTATACCTTTACTTTCATATTGATTTCAATTAAAGTTTAATAAGATCCCAGGCTGGATATATTATCCCAATGCTTCGGGTTGTTTGATTTCAGTTATCTTAGTACAAATGCTTTGCAAGATTTTACGGCTATTACCGCCTTCACTTCTAAATTCTTTGGTGACAGTACTTATGCGTTTCAGATGGCCATGAGTGAAGCTCGGGTGAATATCATCACGGCGTGGAATGCGTCACGGGGCATGTCACCCCTGACCTACCTGGCGCTGGCGTATAATGATATATTGTGTGCTTTCAGGTGTGGTGGTACGAATATGTGTCATGCTCACTTGTTTTTGCTTAACATGGGGTAGAAATATGAACAACAACGGTTAATTGATTACTTATTAGTGGATAAGAACTTATGTTTTATGACCAAGGGGTGCTATAATGGGATTTTGTCATCCGTGTTTTTGTGCTGTCGGTGTCAACTGTCGTAAACACTTTAAATATGATTTTTTGTAGGAGCATTTCTCTGTGAAATAATCACTGAAGTCAAAATATAAATATAGTACACGTGATGTATAAATGTGATATTTGGTCTACTACTAACGAAAATCTAATTTCATTATATAAAAATATTTTTAAAATATGTAAACTGTTGGCAACTTTTGGGCTTTGTAAGAAGTTCGTTGGTAGAAATGGCCTCAAACTAAAGTTTTAATTTTACTTTTTATTGTTAATAGTGCCCAGTGACCAAAATGTTTTATTTTGATACAAAACCTGTAGATAAAAATTTCTGTTTTAAAAAGAACTGTTACCGTCTTCTGTCAACAGCACACCGCCGGGGTCACACACCCAGCCAGGGGCTGTCCTGCCGCAGCCCTCAGGGTCCGTACTGGGGTTGGCTATCTCCTGGAGGGTCCAGCCAGTGGTTTGCCGCCTGAACCGGCCAAATATGGCATTTTCTAAAACTGAGGACACTCCTTTGTCCATACTACCCGTATTTGTTCCAAGTATTCTGTCAACTTTTTCGCTGTTATGATCCGACGCTCGGACCGACGTTAAAATGTAGAAGGTAAAAAGGTAAATCCTTAAGACAATCCATAACGTCCTTGGGTCATGGTCTTTGTACAATAGATCTCTTTTTCCGTGCATTCTCGACGAAGCGTGACTCCTGTAAATAAAACAGATTCTACTCTGATATCCCTGTTGTTATGACAAACTTGCTCTGTTCATTATTAGTGCCCAAAATAACGTTTCGCTTTTTTTCGGCCAGAGAAATAGCAGTGAGCACCCTATATTTGAGTTCTCAATGTGTTGCTCATCATACCAACCCGCATGACTGGTTTGTATTAGACAGGTAATTATGGGCTTTCCCGACCTAGGAGTAACGGTGCCTCACATTTGTCAAGTAGATAAGACGTCCTCCCTACTTTCCCTGATATCAAAGCCCTAAAACCGGTGCCATCAAGCCGCAAGTTAAAATTTTATTACTACTTCATATAAGAAGTAGAATAAAACCTCAGTCCGTGTTCATGCACTGCACCAGGTTATTCTGAAGAGATATGTGATGAATCTTTTGCAAGAAATGGAATGTCAGAAGGTGCACTTTTATCACCAGTGAATCTTCAGCGCTGATAAATGAAGATCCGCGTAGTGTGTGACATTTATAACCGTACGTTTTGGGAAGAATATGACACTCCCCAGTTTAGTAATTTACTTTAGCGCAATGGCCATGCGTCATTCATAAAAATTGACCCCAATCATAATATTTATCAAAATACACGTTTTAAAAAGAGATACAAGAGCAGTGATTTTTACTTAAGAAATGAGTATATCTGGGGGAAAATACAAAGATATATTTCCTTGTTGTCTTTGTCAATTTTCTAATAATTGTCGACATTTATTTGTTGACGTACCTATTTGGGGGCACATTTTTCCTTACTTGGAGTAAACCAGTTACATGTAATTCTTACATTCGAATAGAATAGTTCAGTTTTCCAGCAGGCATGAAACAAGCCTTTGGAATGTAAGCTTTGTCTCCGTGCAACGAAAAAATGAAGGCAACAAGAACCCTATGAACTGTCCCTTAAAATGATCGTGTTTTACTAGTATTTGTCCACTTGTTCTTTCTACCTTACGTATTCTATTTACAGAAACATTATTTAGGAAATGTAAATGCTCATGTTAAGTATAAGCAGTCACACGCGTGTGATGTTAAGGGTAGATGCCATGCAAGTCAACTAAGACAAGTGCCACATGAATTTATGAGTAATACATAGCAGTCATACGTCATTAAGTCAAGGAAATACTAGGGTTATATGAAGTTTATGTTAAAAAAAGAAATAAATGTCATATTAAAATACAAAATGTTCGTCTATGTAGTATTTGTACTTTTAAGTAGTAAAAATAATAAAAATGAATGATAAACAAGAGGCTTTATGTAAACAAATCCCACGTGGCATTTACATATGCATGTCCTTGATTTAAACACTTAACAAGATATTTCTTTTAAAAATGTAAATAGTTCATACTAGGAATTCATAACAATCGCTGGTGTTTTTTCGGTATGAGAAGCATGCATTCACTAGGTTGTATCCATTAATTGATAAATGCACGCAAATGTTCATGTGTTTCTTTTGTTAGGATGGGATCAGGTTCACCTTGCACATTCACACAAACTGCACGGCTCGTCGTCATCACTAACACAATGACTTGACAGACAGCAGAATATCACAAAAATCTAAATGATGAGAGAAATGTGCGTGTTGAGATTCGTTTTTCATATAATCAGTGCCCCAGCACCCTTATTCAGATCTACTTTCTTGGCAGCAGTAAGATTAATCCCATTTACTGCGGTCACCCACGTGTGATATTTTTTATTGCAGATGTTTTAAAGGCGATAAAATGAAAATAGAAGTGAAGTCCGTAGGCGTGTAATTACTCAAAAATGTCATAAGGCGAGACGGGAAACTGGCCAATTATGAGAATTTATATAGTTCTCAGTCTACACCAGCTTTAAGCGTATCCACGTCCCCCACCGCAGCCACCAAAACAGCAGCATATCATGGCGATAAGAAGGGAAATGGCCAATACAGCACCAGCCACTATGAGGACGATGGCCCACCAGGGAAAGAATGTGCCAGAAATAAGCAGCCCTGGTACCCCGTCTTTGTTCGAGCTTTCTTCTACATGTAAGCCTGACTGACGGGCACTTTCTGGGCCACCATCTTTTGCTTCGCCAACTATGTCTTTTTCTGACGAATCGTTGTCTTGTTTTCTACTGTTGATCTTGACACTGTTATTGTCAACGTCGTATATAAAATCTGTTGAGTTTTTGGGCTCGGGGCACTTCTCTCCCAAAAGGACCTTCCTGTAAAAAAACGTTATGACATAAGCCATTGGCAACTTATTCACGACAGTGATTAATAACCTAAAATGTAGAGGTGCATATGGTAGGGTCGTCTGATATGAACGTGCACAACCCGTTAACTATGTTTTATTGTGTCAGTTACATTTCTGATTCAAAAGATTAGACTTTATAAAACAAAATGAAATAATGATAAAAATCGATGTTTTGACATTGAAAGCGTTCAAAAGTACAACTTACTTCAGACTAATGAGGGCATACTGAAGAGCTGCAGCATAATTCTTGACAAAAAGATAAGGCCGACATCCCCGGAGTATTTTATACAAGCATGTTGTGCCGCCAATCTTCTCTGATACCAGCTCATTAGCATACGCTTCAAGCTACAATAATGAAAATAATACATCACATCCACAAACATGTTATTCATAGTAAAGCCCGGGTTACATTTGCCAGGGGCGCCGCACGATGAAACCGTGCACGACTTTCCGTGATATATATATAAGTACTGTTTGTTAGTTCTTTTAGAGCAGTCAATGCGTTGTCTAAGATTTACCTCACAGAATTAGGGTGCTAATTGCCGATACATTGTATATATGACCAGCTCTTGACAAAACTTTCAAGGGAACTGATGTTATACAAACGTTGGTTTGAATCGTTATCCATTTGATTAAATGTGATATGAAATTAAACTAGTTTTTTAAAAAAATTATATATTCTCATCATATAATAAGGGTGTGCTTTACAGGATGGTCGTAGTCTGCACACCTTGAGGTCAGGGCAACAAGTGGACACCTGCCTTGAACCGACATTAGTGACTTGTAATTCATTTGGATTGTTGTGAAACAAACCTAATTGTGCCAGGAAACTATCAAATATATGGAATTTTCGATTAACATACCCGTCTATCATCATCTCGTGAAAGCACGAGAACAATGTCATTTCCACAGGTACCAAAGTTCCACAGTTGATTAGCCAGTGCGTAACCCCAGCCACTCAGTTCACTGAAAATACTGGAGCTGGAACGAAAAGCATGGTTTTCTTTTTAATCAAAATGTGACTTAGTTTTTAGGTTTAATTTCCTGTTCTCTGATATTTATCATATGTGTGCATGTGTGGGCGCAACCGTTGGACGCTGTCAAGTGTGAGGATAACGTGAGCCCATACATTTTTCTTAAAAACGCGACGGGCAGTATAAAATTGGCGTGGTGTCATTTATCTGTCAGAGCAAACTGTTAAATGGACCCTCAAGTGACCAGATGCAGCGTTCATTATTCATGCTTGTGCGTTTAGTGGAGTTAAACAAATCGATTCCGGTTGACATTATCATCCATGTCACACCTCCCCATAGTATAGTTTGTGTTAAGTGTAATCTGTGGAAGTACAAGTAAAATAAAACAAAAGGGGGGACCTTTTCATGAAATTAAGCATGTACGAATTGTAAATTTTTGGGGAAAATAAAAGCAGGTATTATTGCTTAGGGATCTAGAGATGACACTTCGATTTTTATTCGTGATAAAGTTTTGAAAAGAAATAGTATAGGAGTTGTGTGAAATTAGGCCTTACCCGGATGGTACATAGATGCTCGTTACAACCAGAATTGATATGCTGTATCCAGCTACTCCATTATCACAAGGCTTAGCACAGGGGCATGCGGTGGCGTTCAAGATATCATCGATCATATGATCTAGGCGTTCAGCTGTAAAGTGAAAATAAAAGCCATAAACACAGTTACATTTCATAAATCAAATAGCATAATAAATCTGATTGCTGTACTTCAAACAAATATTTTAATGTGCATTTTCGTATTGAATTACACCCATCAAAAACTCATCAAACTGTTATTATAACTGTTGGATAAACGGAGATTCCCATTAGATGATGCTCTTTACAACATAACCACTCACCATGGAGGTTTTCAAGAACACCTGCTGGATTGCAGACCCAGGATTTCCTGGTCCTACCACATCCTTCAAAATCTATCCTCGGGTTGGAGATATTGCTCAGTCTGTATGACAACGTATTTTCCACCAGCCCTTTCTTCGTTTCGTCTATTTCTCTTTCTTTACTTGACGAAAGAATTTGTCCAGAAATAACTGTTCTCAAACATAAAAACTCTATGAAAAACAAAATGCTGCAAATATTGTTTCCGTGTCTCAGTTTCATGACTGTTTCTGAGGAGGGTGAATCAAACGTGCGACGAGAGTGAGAATGATATCCAGAAACATACAAAAACGTGTCTATTTTTACCGCTTGTTCCAGTTGAAGAATCATACACCGTAGATCAGAGGTGCTCTTTACCATGCATATTTTACCTGCCAAAAATACCGGTCTATCTCACTGCAAAACCAGCGTCAGAGGGCGTTATGTGCATGGTCAATTTATACAGGTAAACGGAAGGAAGTAAGACTACTTCGCTAATTAATTAATATACATATCAGTAAAGTACTGTATAAAACTTGCTTAAAGTCGTGTCTCATGTCACTTCAGAGTTCAATATATATATTTATATATGTATTTATAAAATGCACAAAAAAAAAAAGGGATTGATGATCAAATATACTTAATTTCTGAATAACTTTTTTCTCTAAAATCGTCTTGTTGATATTGTGTTTTGATCTTTACT